AAACTGCACACCTGAACCCACATTACAAATTGGTTCTCGATTTGTTTTTATTTTTCTATTTTTTTAGAAGCATTTTTTTTTTGTAGTGGTTGTTTTTTCTCCCTTATATTCTTCTCTAGTAATTACATCTTTTTCTTTTTCTTCCTTTTTTTCGTTGTCATCATCATTTTTTTTCTTTTTCTTCTTCTTCTCCCAATTTATTTTCTTCAATCTTTTATTGTGTCTTCTTATCTTTCAACTCACTATTCTTCCTTTTATTTCTAATTTTCTTTACACTCTTTTTCTGTTTTTTTTTTATCTTTCTCATTCTCCATCTCTCTCTCTCTATCTTTATTATCTTTGTCTTCTCTCACATCATCTTATTTTAGTTTTTATTTATCTCTTCTTTGTCTTTTTTCTCTTCACATTCCATTTTTTATTCTTTGATTTATTTTTCTTCATGTTCGAGTTTTCTTCTTTTCAAAGTTTTCCATCTTCTTTTCTACCGTCTTCTTTTCTTTTACTCTCTTGTTTTTTGTTCTTGTCTATATCTTGTATATCACTTATCAATTTATTTGATACTTTATATTTTCAAGGATTTGTGAAATATTTATATAGTCGAGATCTTTTACAATTTTATTTTTTTGTTATCTTTTGATTCTGTGTTTGCTTTAATTATTTTGCTTTTTTCTATTTCTGAATTTATTTTAGAATGCTAGATAAAAATTTATAATCAACAATTTTTAATTTTGATATACTTCCATTTAAATTCAAAATTTTAAAAATGCACCAAAAACTAAACCCTACATCCATCAATATAAACCCTATGATGTGTACTATGTAAACTCAGTTCCACCGGTCTCGCTCGCCGAGTCGATCTAGGAACTTAGGCTGTTGAACTAAAAAAAAAAAAAAAAACCTACACCCTAAACACAAACCCCACATTACAACCCTCCTCCCCTAAACAGCCTTACACCTTAAACCCAAACCCACATTATAATCCCTCTAAACCGCACACATGAACCCCACATTACAAATTGGTTCCGCTTTTGCTTTTTTTTTTAAAGGAAGATTTTTTAAATCGATAATGTAGTGTATTTATAAGTTTTAAAATGCTGGAAAAAGTAAACCTTACACCCATTATAACGCCCCGACCGCCCCTCCCGGTGAGTCACCCACGCCCTCTCTCTGGACCCGCAGGCCCATCTCGGCCCGTGGGCCTCACCCCTGTCCGACGGCCGGTCCGTTATTTTTGAGAGGCTCTAATGACTTGTTTACTATCCCTGCAATCAACACCCGACCTTTCCCCGTGTTTTGGCCTCACTCACACGATTTCGGAAACCACTTCCCGGAAGGTCACCCATTCTTCAACTACTCCAGCCCAAGCACGCTTAACTCTGGAGTTACTTATCGAACTTTTGACCAAAAAGGTAAGTGCACATTGTTGACATAGATAGCCAAATCAATTCTCTTAAGGCTCTCCTCATTTATCACAAACCGAGATGTTACACCCATCAATATAAAACATACATTGTAAATCCCAACCCCATTTTATCTTCTTATTCTTTTACTTTGTCTTCTATTTCTTTCAGATTTTTTTCCCTTCATTTTCTACCGTTATTTTTTAATTCTTATCCAACTTTCTAATCTCTTTTTCTTTTCCTCTTTCTTTATCGTAATCTTTTTATTTTCGGGTTTTTATTCGTTTTATTATTTTATTTACAATTAACATTTTCAAATAATCACAACATCTACGATTTTTTTTTTCGATTTTATCTTCTTATTCTGCTCTTATGTTATTCTTCTTCTTCATTATATATGTTTTGATAGAAAGGAAACAAAATAAACTATGAGAAGTACTTATAAGTATTGATGGCAATAATTTCCCTAAAATCTCAATATATCTTTATTGAAATTTCATAAAAAGGTTAATTTATTGTTATTCTTTTTCTTTTATTATGCCATTTATGTATCTCAATTTACATCAACATCATTCTATTTATGGTTAATGGCGTAATGTGCTCAAGGTTTAGATAACGTTTAATTCTATGTTTTTCCTCATTTTGTACTTGTCTCTCATCTATTGATCACAAACTTATAAATTATATCTCCTTATGGTGTACGGGGAAGGGGGTTTACTGTAAAGTTAGGGTTCAAAATTTAGGATTTAAAAGTAGTTTTATTATAACAGTAATGACATTTGAAGATTTTTGAGCATTTATCATACACCAGAATGTCAGTAGTAGTTTTGGTTTACAAAACAGAGTTATCATAGAGGTGACTCACCGATAATACAATACATAGTTGGTAAATAAAGAATTGATCAGCCTAACCACAAATTACAAACTGGGTTAGGGTTTATTTGATCAGCCTAACCACATTTTTTTCTTTATTTTATTTATCTAACATCTTAATTTTCATTCTTTTTTTGTTTCATCTTCTCCTTCTTCTATTTTCTTCTTCCTTATCCTCTGGGTTTCTTCGTTTTCTCCACTCTTACGAAAGATGTAATCAAACTAAAAGTAGGATAAAAAATCTTAGATGTTAATCATATTGTTCATTACTCTATTTGATCAGCGTAAAAGCAGCACAATCCCTCGTCTTTGCATCCAACTGCTTTAAAACTTCTTATCTCATCGAGCATTAAATGAATTCAGTCTTGCGACACGGGCAATATACATCTAAATGATATATCTCTCCTTAATCAGTTCAATGAGCAACAGACTGAGCACTATGGGAGAACCACGAGCTCACATCCGAAAGCTAGTTAAGAAGGACAACATGGTGGATACTAAAAGCAAGAACATATTTTGGAGGTAAAATCACATATATTATGAAGCAACAATTACCAACAGAAGCTTAGGCCTCAAGCAACAATGTCCACAAGCTCACAAACCAGTTTTGTAAACGGCAATCATAAACCAGTCTCGCTTACCAGTGACAACGATAGGTTCTACTCAACGCAACAACAGCTCAAAGGTGGAGGGAGGTAACTTGGATTCTAAGCAACAACAACAATGGTGGAACATTATTCACTCTCTCATGAAAAAATAAGGGGAGACATGGCGATGAGCGTAAAAGAGGTTAGCTTCCACTGGACGACTTTACGAACAACGGTGGTGTCTCGGAGTAGATGGGCGACGGAAGACGGTGGCTTTGAAGATCGCACTCTCGCGGCTTCCTCCGTATATTTCTCTTCTTTTTTGGTAAAAAACATTTCTGTAACAAACAAAAAAAAACATGTGATAATTTTTATACACTCGAATCGAACTGATCACATTGTATATCTCAACATTCTCAAAAGAAGCCACTTTCTTTCCCTCCAAGAACATCGGACCATGCCCTATAAATATAGTTCTCATCGAGAAGAAGGCATTGTCGTACCCATGAGCTCCACCACATTCTTTGGCTTCACTCTTCTTCTGCTCCACTTTAAAACCCTCATCGACCAATCCTATAATAGGAGGGATCCGATCATTCTCCACATAATGCAGCCTGCTATGTAAATCCTCTTTGAGATAAATTTTCAAGTACTTGCCATTCTCAACTTCCTTCACCAGAGCTTAGGGCTTCGTTCATCTTCGCCACATATCCGCTGCGTTTCCATTCGAAGGCGGTTTAATCGCTAGCAACGGAGTGTAATACTGAACCCAGCTGCTAGGGATTTCGATCCAAGAAGCTAAATCATCAAGAACAACGACTTTCTAATCACAAGTTCCAACCATTCATGACACATCATAAAAAACCTCTCTTTTCTCTTACCCATCGATGATTCTTCCTATTAACCTATCGATGTTCACTACAGCTTCTGTGATCTGAGGATCATCAGGGCCAACTTGGTGACCTTGATGATCAGGATTTTCGAAGTAAAGCGTCATGAAGCTAGGGATCTCGGCATCATTGGTTCTGTTTTTATTTTTTTCAGACTGAAGAAATCATGAATGGATCGGATATTCCTGTGAATCTATTGTCGAACAGAGAACATATCGACTGATTATACGACTTTAACTTAAAGGTACATACGTAAGATCAAACTAAAAACGAATAACCTACATGAGAGAAGATGATATATGGATTCGAAGAAAGTATCTCACCTCTAGGTTGAAGAATTGTGGATTGTTTAGATTTTCAATATTGCTATCTATTTATATAAAATATAGTCGGTTAAGAAATCTAGGTTTTCCTTTTTTTTTTTTTCCAAATATTCTAATTTTTACATAATTGTGGCGCGTAATATGGTAGTTAGGATTATTATCATCATAAAATATTTTAAATAAAAAATATAAATCGTGAAAATAAAAAAGGAAATTATGAAGATTTAAAAATAGAATTTTCATTAAGGGTAACCGAGTAATCAACCAGCTGAGAGTTAACGTGGTGGCTGGAAACGAAATAATCACTTCGCAAATAATATATTAGATTTTGTGTATACATATTGGTTCGGTTTAGATATAAATTCTTTTGCCGACGGGTAACCGAAGTTTGGTTTTTCTGCGATTTGATTTAAAAAGGACCTCAATTAGTTCAGTAACTTCGGTTCAACCGGGAATGTGAATTTCATTTCATTGGGTTTTGTTAAATGCAATTATGCAACTGGCCAATACCTTTTTGGCTTTCGCTACCAAGTTTAGTGCAACTGCACATTTAGTCCATTTTTCAATAATTTTATCTGCTTCTTGCATCATCTGATCTGAACATATAAATAGCCATTGAACATATATGTTTAGTCATAATTTTTCTGATTTGTTCAATATAAAAATAAATGTTTAGTCATAATGTTTAGCCATTGGACAATCTTTCTTTCTTTCTTTCAGACAATGTTCAATCACCTGCACATATATAAATAGCCATATTGAACATTAAACAAATCAGTAAATTTGGATTGAGATTAATTTGGTGACATATAAAAATAAAAGTTTATAACATACATAGCCATTGAACATTGTCTGAAAGAAAGAAAGAAACAAAGAAGAATCATTGATCGAATTCTTTTAGTTTATTGCATGTTCTGACCATGAGCTTTAGCTACGAAACATCATAGGTGGGATACTCTGCTCATGTCTGAAGAAGTTCTTTGGATCAACCATTGTTTTAATCTTCACCAATCTGTAGAAGTTGTCTTTGAAGTACTTAGTTCCCCAGACGTGAGCTTCTTCGAAGTTCGCGTTTATCTTGTTCGTTCCCAGGTCTAGATCTCTGTAGTTCACATACGATTGTCTTGGATTTCTTGAGACATAAGGCGTCATGTAACTGTAGAGCTCTCTGATCCATTTGATACGCATGTCCGGTCTCTTCTCACTGTCTGTCCAGCTCCTGTAATACTGAATCATGAAGATGGTTCCTCTTCTATGCGGAAATGGGATCTCAGATTCAGGGATTTTATCCATCATTCCACCGTAAGGAGTCCAAATCACTAACGCTGCGTCTTCTTCGAGCATCTTCTTGAACATCCCTTTGAGCCCTAAAACAGGAATAGGTTCTTTGGCGTAATCCGATTTCGCCTTGAAGTAGACTTCTCCGATAGGTGATTTCGCTTGAAGCAAAACCTTAGGAGGAGGAAAAGGGCCTGTGGTTGTGAATCCACCGTGGTAAATTATGGATTCGATCCAGCTCATTTCTATACAATCCTTTTGAGTTAGCCCTAGTTCTGGAAACTCCTTGTGCATTACCTCCATCAAGGTGTCTTTCTTGCCAAGAAACTGACCTATGTATGACATCGCTACAGTCTTGTTTCCTTTGTTTCCAGCTATGGTGAAGAACACTCGTAAGAAGAGCTCTTCAACAAGCTTATCCGCGATTCGTTGCCACTTCAAAAGGATCTTGGTTCCTGGATCTTGCTTTAATGTTCTGGTGACCGTGAAGACGGTTAGGGTTTTAGGAACGGGAACAAGCTTGATCTTCCATGATAAAATGATCCCGAAACTCCCTCCAGAGCCTCCTCTTATCGCCCAAAAAAGATCCTCGCCCATCGTGGTTCGGTCGAGTAATTTACCATTGGCATCAACGATCTTTGCGTCTAGGACGTTGTCTGCAGCAAGACCAAACTTGCGCATCAAGGAACCGTATGCACCGCCTGTAATATGCCCACCTATGCCTACGGTTGGGTATATACCCGCAGGACATCCATGAATCATGCTCTTCTCTGAAATTCTACAAGGAACAACCAAAATTTCAATAGTCAAATATTGTTTACAACAAGTAATTCCAAAAATTCAATAATAAATGAAGTAGATAGTAGTTTAAAAAACCGTTCATAACAAACATAGTTCCTTGTCACAAAAAAAAACAAACATAGTTCACCCTTATATATTTGAGTTTTGGTATAAAGTTTCTTTTTTTTAACTCGAAATCATTTATAATTTTTTTTTTTAAATTCCAAGCTGAAATCAGATCAAATATCACCAAACTTTAATTAGCTAATATATTAAACAAATCATTAAGATTTTGATTTTAAAAAATAAACAAGTTCCGATAACACGAGTTTGATTGGATTTCCAAATCAATTGAAATATACAAACGAAGAAACCTCACTGAGTCACTATATATTTCTAAAATGTGATGTTTTTGTTTTTGTTAATGTAAAATTAAAAAAAAATGTGAATATGTGATATCCGTGTAGAATATTTTCATATATGAACGCCAACGCATAAATAGGTGAAACGATACGAGACTTATATTACCTGTAGTAAAGCTCACCAATCGTAGCACCAGCTTGAACCCAAACACTATTATCTTCAATATCGACATCGATCTTTCTCAACTTCGACATATCAATAATTATAAACGATTTTTCGAGCTGTGAAGCATAAGACACGCCTTCGTAATCGTGACCGCCGCTTCTAACAAGAACATGAATTCCGAGTTTCTTGGAACAGATGATGGAAGCTTGGACGTGAGACTCGTGAACCGGTTTGAATATGAATTTCGGTTTAGGCATTGCCTTGGTCAAGTACCGTTGATTTTGAGCCGTGGATTCAAGAACTTCGATGAAGACCGAGGCGTTTCTTTCGGGAGTGAAGAACGTTTTCTCAAGTGGGAAATGGACATTTGTGTGTCTGTGGAGACAGCTGATGAATTCATCTTGTAGAGAGGTTGAAGAAGTTTGTGTGACGGTGTATAAAGTAAAGTATAGAACTAAAAACGAGATACAAGAACTTGCTGGGAGTGGTTTCAAAATTCTCATATTTGCAGCCAAATATAGTTTATATGAAAGATAGAAGCTAAACACAAAATAAAGGCTTCAAGATGGAAATGGATGTATATAATGGTCTTTTTTTTTTTGTCGATGTAGAGAGTGTGTTTGCATAAATTCAAAGATTGGTATCAAATAAGATCTCTAAAAAATCTTTTTTGCTGGTTATGGTATTATGGTCATATTTTTTTAAAAAAAAAATGAAATTATTGTCAAAAAGATTGAGTGGATATGGACAGGCATGCATTTCTTAGTGACGTCTGACGTGACGTTCATCTTGTCTCTTTGACTTTGTTTGAGCTTGGTTGGTGTGAGACTCCTTGTTTGGTAGAAAACTGCACATTAAGTTGACAACAAAATTGGAACTAAGTTAAGAGATGCATATGGATATGATTGTTTCAAACTGAATACACATCCAGAATTAGTTTTCCTCTAATTTCTTTTTGATAAAAGTTTCTCTAATGTGAACTGAAGGTTCGGTTCACATTTTGTTTCTCACTGACTCGTAAAATTTGGTTTAGTTAGGCTCAGAATCGTATACAAATTTGGTTCGGTCTTGTATGGTTTAAAAGGCTTTCAATTATTTCAGTCTTTTGTCAAATACAATAGGCCCATTCCAACAACATAATAGGTTAATTAGAAGCCCAACACATTGCACAGTCATCGTCGGAAGAAAACGCAATACACAAATTAGAACTAACTTGAGGAGGAAGTATGACGAGAATCATCTCCAATAAGTTTCTAACTTTCTCTCAGAAAACGCAATACACACACTAACATCTCTAAGCACAGTAAGAACTACTTGTTAAACTGGAACGATTTAAGGAAGAATCAAAATTTATGGCAAAAAGCAGCAGCAAGGAGTCAGTTTCTGGAGTTCATGGTGGTAACTCCACGGTCTCTTCCTTGAGATTCAACCTCCAAGAGCAAGACGACGTCTTGGTTGATCCTCCATCTATGAAGCGAATAACATTTTTTTCCCAGTTTGGTGTTTGAAGATCATTTTATATTAATTTTGAATTGTAATCTTGTAGAGCAAGTAAGTAAGGTCCATATTTTAAAAATGTGTTGCTTAACTCATATATTGAAATGACTCTTGAATTCATTTTGACTTCTGCAAGACTGAGTCCTCGTTTGCTAGACTCATATTGGGAATATGCATTTACAGTATTAAACTTAGGATTTGATCTTTTAGGTTTGGGGGTAGTATTTGATGTTCTAGGAGAAACAAACAAAGTAGATATATGCTTGTTACGATCAAACCCTTTAATTTCTTTCTTTGTGTTACTATTTGTTATACGATCAGGCTTATGTCAGAAGGTTGTAGAACTGAAAAAAATCTGTTGAAAAGCCTAGTAAGAATCATATATGGTAGAGAAACCTTGATCTGTATGTATATCTGAAGGCAGGAAAGTTTTTCTTTTAGAAGCTTCCAAAATCGCTAGAAGAAGAGGGTATATGATCTTCTAGGTCAAAAAGAGAGTAGATCCGCTTATATAAGATCATATACCCTCTTCTTCTAGCGAAAGTCGACGCTGTTGGTTTCTTTTAGATTTGGGGGTATATGATATTCTAGGTCAAAAAGAGAGTAGATCCGCTTATATATGATGTTTCTTTCTTGGCTCTACAATTTATCTAACCACTAGGCTATAGGATCAGGCTTAGATATACGCTTAACTATGGTAGATATATCTTAATTAAGGACAGTTCTTTCCTTAGAAAATATCGATAGAAGAAAGAGTCTTGAATACTCCATCTGGACTCCTTTTCGATGGAGAAAACAGTCTCCTTAATCTCGTTTTCTTTTCGTGACTATTCTTGTAAAGAAATCTGTTATAGCATTTGTTACAAGCTTTATAATATTTAACAGAGTTTCATCTAATCTAATACCAAGAGCCAAGAGGGATTAGATAATTAAAATATAAAAAATAAACCAGATGCAACTGTTCTTTTTCGTGTTTCCAAGAAGTGTTACGTTACTTAGTTATTTCTTTAGCAAAGCCAAGGCCCTAAGCCCCTAATGTTACGATTTTCCTTGACAGATGCATGAAAAAAGAAACTCATGAATGCTTCTAAAATTGCATAAGAACAAGCATTTTGTGGCGGCGCATCATATATTTCTGTAACATCTATGTTCATGTGGACTTTTATTTTTAGGAAATAGATTTAAGATATAATACTATACAGAGACCTTCTGGTATCACTGATTTAACACAATAATTAATTAATAAATAGTCTGTTATGTACTTATGTTCATCCCCTAAACTTAGGATTTGATCTTTTAGGTTCGGGGTAGTGTTGTATGTTCTAGGAGAAACAAACAGAGTAGAAATGCTTGTATACTGTTGAGATTTATGGACCTCAAAGCGTCGACTTTCGCTGAGATAAATCCCAACAACCAAGAATAGAACAGAGATGAAAGAGAACTTGAAGAAACAGAGGAGGAACAGAGTTTTGCGTTTGATGAAAAGAGAAAGTAAGCAAAGAAAGAAAAGGGAGCACACACACAACTTTACCCAGTTCACGCCCATATGGGCTTCCTTGTCCAAGCGCCAAAAGCAAAGATTCCATCTTCAAACGCCAAAGAGCAATCTGTCTTCTTCCTTGTCTTTATCCAACCGTGTCTTTTTCTGCTCTGAGCAATATCCATCAGACAAACCAGCGATACACTGATAAAAACCTGCTGCTCCAAAACAGATTGCAGAACCGTTGACTTTAGGTGGTCCCAAAAGCAATTGATAACCATGGTTATTTGGTTTACACCAAACCATGAGAATCTTTGACCAGACACGGGTTGAAAAGGATAAGACCAAATATGCTTGCTCATCAAGTCATCATAATTCTTACATATACGAACAAACCCTTTAATTTCTTTCTTTGTGTCAGGCTTATGTCAGAACTCACAACTGTTGTAAAACAGAAAAAAAAATCTATTGAAAAGCTTAGATACGATATGGTAGAGAAACCTGGATTTGTATGTATATCTCTAAAGGAGGGAAAGTGTGTCCTTGGAAGCTTCCAAAATCGCTAGAAGAAGTTAGAAGTGTCTCCTTCATCCGTTTTCTTCTCACCCAAGTAAACTTTGGTTTAGTTCGGTTAGAAAGTTTATTACAGTACTTAAATTTTGGTTCGGTTTAGCTATAAAGTCTCTTGCCGACTGGAATTGGAAACCCATGTTGGGAGATTCTTCGGTTAGGTGTTTCGACATTGTTGACACATACACATCCCCAGCGGAAAACGATTATTAGAACAATAAAGAAAAATCATCTGGAGAAAGTTAGAAACTTTTGATTGAAAGTTGAGGTGGACTTAACGATGACGAGTTTTTCTGATCTTTCATTGGATTTGATATGGGAGATTTTCGCTAGGGTTCCGTTAACATCTCTAAGCGTAGTGCGATCTACCTGTAAAAACTGGAACGATTTGACCAAAGAACAGATTTTAGGGCAAAAAGTAGCAGCAAAGAGTCAGTTTCTGGAGTTGACGATGATAAACTCTACGGTTTCTTCCTTTAGATTCGACTTCCAAGAAATCCAGAACAAAGACGACCAAGACTTGTTTGATCATCTCTCCATGAAGCAAATAACTAGTATACCTAATAATCAGGTCGAGATATCTCTCGAGTCATTCACTGCGACGGCTTGTTGTTATGCGTTCCCAAAGACCACTCAATGCTCTTTGTTTGGAACCCTTATTTAGGGCAAACCAGATGGATTCAACCCAGAAACGAATTACGAAATTGGGACGGGTATGCTCTCGGATACGACAAGAACAACCGTAACCACAAGATCTTGAGGCTTTTTAATGATTACTACAACAAGAAGAACATCCTCATCGATGTATACGATTTTAGCACTGATTCATGGAGGTTTGTTGACGTGGATCCCAGCTGGGATTTACCGTCTTATAACGGCAGCGTGTCTTTGAAAGGAAACACTTATTTTTCCGGTCAAGATGGATTAAATAGAGGAGCACTTTATTTATTTTGTTTTGATTTTACAAGAGAGTTATGGACGTCTGCCTCTGTCTCTGCCGTTTGATCCTCCGCATCATTTTCGTGACACTGCGGCTCTATCTTGGGTTAGAGATGAGAAGCTAGCTGTGTCATATTACAAATCTGAAGATCCCTGGATAGTAGAGATTTTGATTTCGATTAAGGTTGAGCCCAATGCGGTCTCGTGGAGCAGTTTTTTGACACTGGATTTGGGTCTAATCAATGCTGTACCGGATAATTTTCTTACTACTAGCTTTAAACCTATGTGCTTTTTCATTGACGAGGAGACGAAAGTCGTTGTGCTTTTTTATAAAGTCGGATATGACAGAGAGGCTGGGACCTTTCCCTACCGAATGGCTTACATTGCTGGAGGAGATGGTTACTTCAAATCTGTCAACACCGGATTAGCTTTGAATCCTTCGGTTGCTCATGGCAAACTTGTGTGCTCTTCTTATGTTCCAAGTTTAGACTGTTTAGTGCAAGTTTAATCTATGTTTTCAGTACTTTGTTTTGTTTCTGTAACAGCTTGTATGTTCATGTGGACATCAAAGATTAAGATATATAATACCAAGACCTTCCGGTAACTAATTTAATATTGTTCTTCATTCCCTAATTAATTAACACCGAGACATTCAAGCACTGCAAAAATGTCATTTGGAGCAAAAAGCAAGGTTTGGTCTCTCTTTAGCAACTATGTTCAGTAGACACTTCAGTTTCTCTGCTCCAAGCTTCTCCTCAAGCCTTATCCACAATCCTGGAATATGCTGCTCATAAACAGAAATACATATCACAAAATAAGAACTCAACGAATCAAAATCTATTTTGGTGGAGTTCATTAAAACATGAAGAGACCAAATACTAACCCTTGTGAGCCATAACATGTAGACAGCAGCATGCAGTGCTTGAGCTTGAAAATCTTCAAACTTGGTATCCGGAACAGTCATAGAAGATTCCAAAAGTTGGATATCTTTATCAATGAAGCTGACAATTTCTTCATTTATTATGATACTCTGTCCGGTTTCAGATGAATGATTGCGAGCGAAATACATTATCCAATTAAGAGAGAGGAACCTCCGGTGAAGCCATAGCGCCTGAAACAAAAAGTTCAACAACTCAAAATAAGTCTCCCCCACTAATTTGTTCACCTCCATGACAACTAAAAGTTTACAAACTGTAGACGATAGAGCCGATATCCAATAGCTAAGAGACAACTTGGTTGTACAGTCAAAGAGTATTGTAAGATCAGAGATGATCATACCTCACGTCCCAAGTAACGTTCTACCAACTCCTTGTTCCAATCAAGCTCTTCCTGTCACATTATGTAAAGAGAATGTAAGAGTCCTTCTCATTTTCAGCAAATAGTAATGGCAGGAAAAAACGGCTGGCTTAGTTAGGAAGACAAAGCGTACCATCCACATCTTTTGTGCCTCAGTTTTGTCATAAGCATTACTTCCTTTCACATTAAGTGGCTCCAGAAGCCTGAGCATCAGCCGCTGGACAAAATAAAAATGGTTGTGAGCTGCATGGAAAACTTGACCAGATTGAATGGAGAATGTTAGTTGTGTACACCATAATTTGCAGTAAGTTCGTGACTTCATTGTTACTACGTTTATGTATACTCTAGTTTTAAGCATCTATTTAAATACGCCGTTCTTACTCTGCGGTAATGGAAGCAAGAACTATCGGCTACATGCAGCCCTGCCCACCTCTTAGATTTGTTCAACTCTTGTAGCACCTAAAACAGACGACATATAATGTAATCAGAATCCCAGTTTAGAGAAAACTTATGGTGTATCTTAGACTTAAGACCATATGCAAAGTCAAATAACAAAAGTTAGAATGATTTACCTGCTTGACTGGCATGTACGAAACCAACCAGCAACGGTGATACCATGCACGATAGTTCATCTTTGATCTCTGCAAAAGGCATGTAATTTGATAAGGAGCAGAACAAGTGATGGACTTTGAGGATCAACAAATTAAAAACTTGGGGGTGACTGACCATCTAGTATAAATTGTGAAGATTAGGAGAAACCAATATATAATCCATAAGATATATGATGAACCTTCATGATACGTAAAGCATAAAATCTCAAACTAATCATACCTCGCCTATTGATTCCACTAGCTCAGACTCTTTGGTGATAATCTCTTCTGGTGCGGAATTATTCCGAGAAATCATCTTAATTAGTTCATCTTTGATCTCTGCAAAAGGCATGTAATTTGATAAGGAGCAGAACAAGTGATGGACTTTGAGGATCAACAAATTAAAAACTTGGGGGTGACTGACCATCTAGTATAAATTGTGAAGATTAGGAGAAACCAATATATAATCCATAAGATATATGATGAACCTTCATGATACGTAAAGCATAAAATCTCAAACTAATCATACCTCGCCTATTGATTCCACTAGCTCAGACTCTTTGGTGATAATCTCTTCTGGTGCGGAATTATTCCGAGAAATCATCTTAATTATCCACCTTCTGTTACAATAATGACCAAAATATTATGAGTTTTAGTAACAGTTGTGGGCAACACTCATTCTAATGACACAGGGGACGTATTTGAATAGCCTAAATACGATGAGTAGCAGAAAAGTCATAAAAGACAGACCTATGACTCCATGTTGGTTCACTCTTTGGAGAATTTGAAAGAACGAGCCTAGAAAGACGAAGTTCTTCCGTGAGCACCCAGGGTTGATTTTGTTTCGACAAGATCAGCTTCCTATCTCCAGGACACACAGACAAGATGAGGTTAGATAAAGAAGCAAAACATTAGAAAAAACAAAACAAGCCAAATCATAGCTACTAAGTACCTGGCATTCCATGCAGTTCCAAAGTCTGAGCTTAACAGCAAAAGAGCTTGGCTATGTTTCATGACTTTGTTCTCAATAGCACGAAGAGAACAAGAGACCCCAGATGAGATATTTGTGGATGGGGACGACTCGCTACGTGCGTCTTCATGGCATTTGTACTCCTTCAACGCAGCCAGAAACGCATGTTTTGCATCTTTACATAATTGAATGAGTATATCTGTTGATATTCCCAGTTTATGATCTTGACTCCAGAAACTTGTCGAGGTTTCGGTACTGGGCTGGACTTCATTTTGATAGGCACTAGAGACTCCTGCTTCTTTATCCAGCTCAGTGAACAGCGAGGGGTGAATAAACCCAACTTCATCACTTATTTTGCAGAGAAAAGCAAACAAAAACAAAGTAAGAGGAAGTATGATCTGAATCAAGAAAACTTTACATGTGAATCTAGTGAGAGTTGTATGAAATCTGAAATCACTAGACCCGATAACTACCATGACCAACATGAAACCAACATTCTGTGATCATAACTTGAACAACTACTAAATAAAAAGTTGAAACTTGGAAGGAAAAAGCACAGAGAAAACTGAAAGTGTAAGTGTGTAACAGGAAGAAGCCAATTCAGTCAGCAGCATTGCTATCTCATATGAAATCTACAACAGGAGAACATTTATATACTCACATTAGAGGGTCAGATTCAAGAACATGCTCGAAGTGATTCAACAACTCGGAGCAATCTACTTCAGAACATGATCCTTGTCCCATTTTTCCAGAAACTTCCGATGAGATTTTACTGCAACGGTACTCTAACACAAGGCACAATCAACACCTTACGCACCTACAAAGTAAAACCAAGTCTAAGCCTTTCAACGAAACAGATCAGGACTTATCTTTGATATGCATCAGAATATAGAGGAAAAGCAAATTATAAACCATATACAGATCTTAAATAACAAGCTCGAATCTGAAGTATAAGGAAGTATCAGGCAAGCTAATGTCGTTACCTAAAAGCCTAAACTTTGGCATAGTTAGACATCCTGGTTCAAAAATCAGATCACAATTTAAGAATCCTAATTCGTTATGCAGCCGAATTGTACAGTGAAATGGTGTTGCCTTCTTTTTCTCTTCACAAAGTAAATCGATAAACCGAAGCCAAATCACAAAACTTACATTTCGAATTCTTCCAATTTCACTCGCAATCTCCTTTATTTTAACTTGTACACGAGTTTCGAAACTGCAAGATCGGATTTGTAACGATGGCGATTTAAGGGTTTTCGGCAAAGTAAACCCAATTTGACTTAAGAAATTTAGAGATTTAGAGAAATGAAGAAGAATGGATTTCGGCCCGAGTTTGACAGTGGCGAGAGAGAGACGCAGCTCTGTTAATGGTGAAGAAGATGAGAAACTTTAGAATTTGGGGATGAATGAAAAAAAAAAGAATAGACAACGGAGATGGCCCAATTCAAGATGGTGATTATAAATAGTATAGTTATCATAAAATGATGGTGCAGAGGATCGAACTGGAGACCTTTTGCGTGTAAGGCAAACGCGAACTGGAGACCACTACACCACAGCACCTTTTTCATAAACAGTTTTGATTAGTGATAATTGGTTTAATGTTTAGTGTTTTCCTATAGTTTCTTATATATAAATATGAGTTTAGGCAACTTTGGCTATCACGAACAACCACTCTTAAACCTTTTATGAGATCTATCAAAATCTATTTTTAATCATTTATATAAAGAAGACAACTCAAAGTTTCTCCTTTCTCTTTACATTTGCATTTGCACAATAAAGCTCATTATGAGTTATCTATTTTCTATCTAAATAAAGCTCCTTTGAGTAGAAATACTCATCAGTTTGAAACTGCTTACATAGATTTCAGGAACCGATCACACGAAATGGCTCTTACCATCGTTAGGCAACGTATTTGCAGGTACTGTATAACGACGTTGATTTCACAAAGGGAAAAACTTTCAAATTTGACGTAAGTATTACAAGCATGCATCTATATCATAGCTATAACAACATTATCTGAAGCATAGAAGAAACATTGATTTGATTTCTTCTACTTTATTCTTACTTGATTGATATAGTTATAATCGTTATCACGAGCTAAAGCTTAGAACAGGCAGAGTTGGGATGCTCTGTTCATGTCTAAAGAAGTTATCTGGATCAACCTTTGATTTAACCTTCACCAATCTGTTGAAATTGTCTTTGAAGTAGTTTGCTCCCCAGACTTGAGCTCGTTTAAAGCTCATCTCTGCGTCGTCTTTCGTGTTCTTTCCCAGGTCAAGGTCTCTGTAGTTTACATAAGCTTGTCGTGGATTGCTTGAGACATACGGCATCATGTAACTGTACATATCTCTTATCCACTTGATATGCGTGATCGGTCTCTGCTCGCTTTCTCGCCAGCCTGTTTGGTACTGGATCTTGAAGATGACTCCTTTTCTATGCGGGAAAGGGATTTGAGATTCAGAGATCTGAGCCATCATTCCTCCGTAAGGAGTCCATATCATCATTTGCGAGTCATCTTTGAGCAACATGTTGAACATCCCGATGAGGCCTGACTCGGGAATCGGATTCTTGACGAAATCGGATTTGGCTTTTAAGCTGAGTTTTGCGAAAGACGACTTCCTTTGAAGCAAAACATTAGTAGGAGTGCCGCTCGGGAATCCAGAAATGGACACAACGGACTCGATCCAGCTCATTTCGACACAATCTTTCCTTGTTAGCCCTAGCTCGGGAAAACTCTCCTTCATAACATTCATCAACATGCCTTTGTTCCCAAGAAACAGGGCATTGTACGACGTCGTGACAGTCTTGTTTCCAGCTGTGTTAAAGATCGCTCTGATGAATAACTCTTCAACAAGCTTGTCCGCAACTAGTTGCCACTTGGAAAGAATCTTGTTCCCTGAGTCTTGTTCTAACGTTTTGGTAACGGTAAAGACAGTTACAGTCTGAGGAACGGGAACAAGCTTGATCTTCCATGCTAGAATTACCCCAAAACTCCCTCCACCGCCTCCTCTGATCGCCCAAAACAGATCCTCGCCCATCGCGGTTCTGCTAATCAATTTACCGTTGGCATCAACCATCTTTGCGTCTAGCACGTTGTCTGCAGCAAGACCAAACTTCCTCATCAAGGTACCGTATCCACCGCCTGTTATGTGCCCTCCTATGCCAACGGTCGAGCACAAACCCGCCGGAAACCCATGGACTTTGCTCTTCTCTGCAATCCTACATTTAACAATAAAATAGTTTCTCTCAATTTTCTTTTTGAAATACTATTGAGGTTCTAGGCTAAACCCCCTATATACTCATATGCGAAAGCATTTATATGGTCCCGTTTCCCAGGCCAAAGATTTAAATGTTTTAAAGATTGTGTATCCTTTATTTATATACCTGTAGTAAAATTCACCAAGTGTAGCACCAGCTTGAACCCAAGCACTATTGTCTTCAATATCAACGTTGACCTGTCTCAGCTTTGAGAGGTCAATCAACATAAACGGGTTTTCGATATGCGAGACGTAAGACAAACCCTCGTAGTCGTGACCACCGCTTCTGACACGGAGATGAACTCGGAGTTTCTTGGAACAGATGATGGAAGCTTGGACGTGAGACTCGTGGAGCGGTTTGAATATGAATACCGGTTTAGGCATGGATCTTGTCAAGAACCGGAGATTCTGAGCTGTAGATTCAAGGACTTTGTTGAAGATCGAGGCGTTTCTTTCAGAAGTGAAGAACGTCTTGTCTAGTGGGAAATCCATTTGTGTGTTTCTGTGGAGACATCTCACGAAGTCATCTTGTAAATAGGTTGAAGAAATAGGTCTTATCGTGTGGAAAGAAAAACACAAAGCTAGAAACGAAATACAAGAAACTGCATGGAGTGGTTTTGAATTTCCCATCCCGTCGTAATGCCTAGAGAGAGACCAAAACATACAATCACGCTTCAAAACATCACTAATCTTTAGTAAAATCTACGAGGACAAGATGGAAACCAAATTTATATATATATATGTGATAAAAAAGAGGAAAGATTATGATAAAGGAGTATGTTATAACTAGCGTGATTGCTGTGCTTACAGGGAAATAAAATAATTTCGTTAACATCAATTACGAATATTTTGGATCCTAATTTGACAGCCTTTTCTGTAGTGACCTGATAGCCATCTTTCACGTGTCTTGAAAATGTTGACTTGTTGACTTTGTTTTAATCAACTAGTAGTAACTGTGAAAGTAGAAAACTTGAAATGCACATGACCCCAAAAATAAAGTTAGTTAGTTATTAAAAGCAAAAAACAAAACAAAAAAAGTTAAAAGGTTCATATGGATTTAATTGTTTCAAATCGAGTACACATCCAAATTGAGTAGAGAATGGGAGGAGGCTCTAGATTTCCTGAGGAACATACAGCCACTTTCTCTCACCCAACCCTGCCTTCGTCGAAAGTTGTTGTATCTGCATTTTACTTGTAGTCAATGTTCCTCCATTTGTTGCATGTGCGAGTCTCAAATAATCTACGGGTAAAAAGACCTAGTTCTTATTCATAGATGATGCAAATTAAAGGCGCATCGCTTGGTTTCGTTCAGATGAAAGACCAATTTTATGATAATCAAGTGTGGTAAACTCAAGTGCAAAAATATTCTAGGCAAAAAAAGCCTAGAAGTCCGAATGATAAAGCCTTGTAAAATGGTGCTGCCCAGGATCGAACTGGAGACCTTTTGCGTGTAAGGCAAACGTGATAACCACTACACCACAGCACCTTGTTGATCAACAGTTTTAATTCGTCTTATTGGGTAGTCTTTCCATTTTTTTTTGGTCGAAATGTTAATGCGAAATAGCAGTAGATATACATAAAAAAAGTCAATATTAAGGAACTATCAATAGTAAACGTTTAGCTACGATACACTGCATATATTATACAATATTTACAATTCTAACCTCGTTTGTCACTAACTTATTATGGAGCTCGGCTTACGGCTCCACTTCAACTAAGACTAAGCTGACATATATTTAATATATGTAATAAAATTATAATTATACAAAATTGCTTTTCAATTAGGGATTGTTTTTTCGATTGTGTTCGCTTTGGAGAGAAAATTTGTTTCTTCTTCCGATCTTTGTCGCTTGTGTTCGGAACTGTGGAGGTTATAATTGTAGAGATTTCTATCCGATTCTCCTTCACTTGGTCTTGAGATTGTTGAGGTTTGATTTCGATTTGCTTTATGTTCATAAATATTGTTTCACCTTCAATATATACGATTTCTCTTCTCTGTTTAGTATCTAAGTTATACTGTGTCTTTCGAACAATGATTTGATAATCTTCAGGAGATAAAAGTCCAAAATTCAAGTTTTTTCTTGTCTCTCATACCATTTTAATGTCCTTTTGTTCTGTCTATTTAGGAGTTTATGAATAGATGAGAATAGGGAAGTATGATTTTTAGTTTTTTTGTTTGATATAGTATTCATTTTTGGGATTTCAGACTATTTCTATGTCGATGTAAGATTCTCTAATTTTACAAAGTTCTCTTAACTATTTTTATAGATCTCTTCAGAAAGACAATGGAAGAGATGGGATTGTCAGAGAAACTATTTCAGACTGGTTTCGAACCAACCGGTAGAAAAAGAATCAACAATTACTTCACCCTTAGATGGGTGGAAATTATTAAGACAACTCTTGACAAAGAATATATCAAGATTCTGAGGGAGTCCCAGTTCAAGAATGTTATGAGAATGGGAGGCCATATTTTCTCGGTTATGTTCGTCCATTATCTTTTGTCAAGACAGTTGGTTATCAAAAAGAATTATGAGCTTTGGTGGGTCTTTTCATGAAAACCAGTTAGATACGGACTATCTGATTTTGCAGAAGTCACTGGTTTGAATTGTGGTCTACTACAAGGTGGAGAGTGTTCTAAGAAGAAGAAGAAGAAACAGAAATCAAGTAAAGGTCGAAGCAAAAAGGATTTGACGAAGAAGGAGAGAGGTCCAATGTGGGAAGCCTTGTTTGGTGATGTTGATAATCCGACTCCATCTTTGATGTGACGTTTACATCGGCTAAAATAGATAATAAACGGCTTGGCTCTTCATAACAAAAGAAGCTTCTCTTTATTTTTCCCGCCCAAAGTACAGTGCCCCTTCTGTAATTTTTCAGCGCGTGTGTGTCAGGATTTAATTTCGAAGCCCATACTGTCATTTACTTAATTTAGTGGCCCAATACTATTATTCACCAAAATCACCCAATGTTAATTCGGTAGTCTTTTTTTTACCAAAAAAAAAAGAAGCAATCTCCATCGTCTGTTTCCGAATATTTAGAGGAGTAGATTTAAGGATATATACATTGTGTTGTGGAAAGGTCTATAAAATGTGCTGCTCACAATCTCCTGACACAAGCGATGGGGATTTCACAACTCATGTGTATAACTAAAAAGAGACGAATAGGATACAGTGATTTCTCTCGGAATTTAGGTATAATCATGAGTTGCGAAATAACTTATTATTGAGTTTGGTTTGTGCCACACGGTAGGGAAAATAGGGGGGCCCAATTTTCTTTTCACACTATTACAAACTGTGGACATTTGTCTTCTGAGAGATTCAAATCTGTTTGGTCAAGATGATTTCGTTGTTTGAGCTAAAAACGCTACAGATTCAAGCTGATATACCTTTTTGGAAACTTGAGTGGCTAAGAATGTCTTGAGATTTCATTTGATTGTTAGTTTAGTGGCTCTTACCATCTCGTACTTTCACCAAGAACTACCAATTTTAACGAATTGATTGAGAACGAGAACATGTTTTTGAATACATGATTTAAAATTTTAGGTTAATACAAAAATATTACAAGCATGCCTTTATATAATCAAGTGGAACATTCTCTGAAATACATAAGAACGAATGATTTGATCTCATTCTTATTTGATTGATATAGTTTTCGTTATCACGATTTCACGAGCTTAGCTTCGAACGGGGAAAGTTGGGATACTCTGCTCGTGTCTGAACAAGTTCTCTGGATCAACCTTTGATTTAATCTTTACCAGTCTGTAGAAATTTCCTTTGAAGTACTTAGCTCCCCAGACTTTAGCTCGCATGAAGCTCTTCTCTGCGTTTTTATTGTTCTTTCCGAGGTCAAGATCTCTATAGTTGACGTATGATTCTCTTGGGTTGCTTGAGACATACGGCGTCATGTAACTGTACAGCTCTCTGATCCATTTGAAGTGCCTGCTCGGGTTCTTGTCGCTTTCTTGCCACGCTATTCCGTACTGGACCTTGAAGATGACTCCTTTTCTATGAGGGAAAGGGATTTGAGACTCGGGGATTCTCTCCATCATTCCTCCGTAAGGAGTCCATATCATCATTGGCATGTCTTCTCTAAGAAACCTCTTGAATATCCCTTGAATGCCTGACTCTGGAATCGGATTCTTCACGAAATCGGATTTGGTTTTGAAGCTGATCTTTGGGAAAGAGGACTTCACTTGAAGCAGAACATTCTTAGGAGTGCCTCTAGGGAATCCAGAAATGGACATAACTGACTCAATCCAGCTCATTTCAACACAATCTTTCCTTGTTAGCCCTAGCTCCGGAAAACTCTCCTTCATAACATTCATCAACGTGCCTTTGTCTCCAAGAAACAGAGAATTATACGACGTCGTCACGGTCTTGTTTCTGTTGGTTCCAGCTACGTTGAAGACCACTCTGATGAACAAATCTTCAACAAGCTTGTCCGCAACCACTTGCCACTTTGAAAGAATCTTGTTGCCTACGTCTTGCGCTAACGTTTTGGTAACGGTGAAAACGGTTACGGTCGCAGGAACGGGAACGAGCTTGACCTTCCATGCAAGAACTACCCCAAAACTCCCTCCACCGCCTCCTCGGATCGCCCAAAACATGTCCTCCCCCATCGCGATTCTGTCGAGTAATTTACCGTTGGCATCAACGATCTTTGCGTCAAGGACGTTATCTGCGCCGAGACCATACTTCCTCATCAAGGTACCGTAAGCACCACCTGTTAACGTCCCTCCTACGCCTACGGTTGAACACAAACCAGCCGGAAAACCATGGACTTTGCTCTTCTCCGCAATCCTGCATTTAAAGATAAAACAGTTTCTATCAGAATCTATAACCAAAAAATTTCATTTTCTTGATTTATTGTTGTATCCTTTATTTATTGTACCTGTAGTAAAGTTCACCAAGTGTAGCACCAGCTTGAGACCAAGCACTGTTGTCTTCAATGTCAACGTTGATCTGTCTCAGCTTTGAGAGGTCCATCACTACAAAAGGTTTTTCGATCTGCGAGACGTAAGAGAGGCCCTCGTAGTCGTGGCCGCCGCTTCGGACTCGGAGATGGATCTGGAGTTTCTTGGAACATATGATGGAGGCTTGGACGTGAGACTCGTGGAGCGGTTTGAATATGAATCCCGGTTTAGGCATGGATTTTGTCAAGAACCGGAGATTTTGAGCAGTCGATTCAAGGACTTCGTTGAAGAGCGAGGCGTTTCTTTCCGGAGTGAAGAACGTCTTGTCGACTGGGAAATCGACATTTGTGTTTTCGTGGAGACAGTTGATGAAGTCAACTTGTAGAGAGGTTGAAGAAGTTGGTGTTATAGCGTGGAAAGAAAAATATAGAGCTAAAAACAAAATGTAAGAAATCGCAGGGAATGGTTTTGAAATTCCCATCCCTACCAAATGCAAGAGAGAAAGCCAAAAAAACACACAATTCTTCTAGAGAAGAATCTCTAATCTTTCGTTAGATCTAGGAGGAAAAGATGGAAACCAATGTATATATATATATAGGACAATAAAAGATTATGATAAAACAAGATCCATAAAAGTCAGTTGATGAGTATATAACTAACGTGGTTGCTGCTTAGAGATGGTGTGATTAGTCTTTTACGATAAGATTAAGAGGGACATGATTCCGTTTACATTAATTACGACTATTTTGTATCCTAATCTGACATCCTTTAAATAAAGACAAGACGTGACAACCATTTTTTACGTATCTTGAAAATGGTGACTTTGTTTTAACTAGTGTTGTGGAAACGTAGAAAGCTTGAAATACAAGTTAGCAGATTATGGATTTCTTGTTTATTTTAGTTTTGTTTGTTCTGAAGATTCGGTTGTTATAAATTGAACACATATTACAATATATAATGAATAGATGGCTCAATGGTGATTCTCAGTGCTCAAAATACACGGCCAAGAAAAAATGATGAGCAATTTACTATTTAGTATGTGGATTCGTTCTCGCAGTACAAATTTGAGCTTTATCAAAATATCTCTTCGACAATTTTGTTTTCGGATATGTAATAGATTTTGATAGAGACAACTGGTTTAGGTTGGGATAGATTCAGTCAAAATTTCATCCTGTGAAATGTAGTAATTCACCTGGCACCAGCGCATAATGGTATTTTTTTTTTCCAAGTTGAGGATCATTTAAACATGACTTTTCATAAAACGTCTCTTTTTGTGGAGTCACTAAATTGTGGTTTTCTTTGTTTGACATGTACCTTTTTATACGTCATAAAATTCATTTCATCCATATTAAAATTCATTCATTTCATCCATATTAAAATTAATAGAGTATCTACCAATTTAACGATAACAACTTGAATTTGAGCTAACGAAGCCACCATTATGATTGATCGTTTGTTTACTCTTTTGTTCTAAACTAATTAGCCGCCTACAAACGACATCTCCGTGCCAATTTGATCTTGTTTACTCTTCGTTTCGGCTGATTAATATTTGTTTTTTTATTTTAAATAAAGTTGAGTCTAAAATTTGACTAGTCCAACTGACATTCATAATTTTAATGAAATCATATTGTAAAGGCCAGTGGGTCTAAAATTTGGTTTCTTTTGTTCTCTGCAATCTTAAACACATTATCAAAAACTGTAATTATAATGCATCAACATTAAAAAGAGTCGACAACCTAGTTTCCAATTGATTTTCGTTTCATTCATTATATTTAGTAAGATGTTTAGTCTACGTCGACCGCCCAACTAGTGCATAACAACCTTTTGAACATGAATTTAGTCTTTCTTGAAAAAGTTGTATCAAGGGCTTGGGATTGCCCTGTTATTGGGCTTCTTGGTAGTCTTATAGGGCTTCGTCACAACATTAACCGTTGGGGACCTGTTATAGGTTGAAATTTAGAACCATTTTCCCTACGCATAACTTGAATTTTACGTGAAACAAAGTACTACCGGCATGCCTTAACATTATATTAGCTACAAACATTTTCTCAAACAGTGAAGAATAATTATCTGATTTCTTCTACTTTATTCTTACTTAATTGATATAGTTGTGTCGTTATCACGAGCTTTATCTTCGAACGGACAGAGTTGGGATGCTCTGCTCGTGTCTAAAGAAGTTCTCTGGATCAAACTTTGATTTAACCTTCACCAATCTGTTGAAATTGTCTTTGAAGTACTTAGCTCCCCACATTTGAGCTTGTTTGACGCTCGAGTTTATCTTGTTCTTTCCGAGGTCTAGGTCTCTGTAGTTTACATAAGCTTGTCGTGGATTGCTTGATACATACGGCGTCATGTAACTGTAAAGATCTCTGATCCAGTTAATATGCCTGCTCGTTCTCTTGTCGCTGTCTGGCCAAGTTGTTAGGTACTGGATCTTGAAGATGACTCCTTTTCTATGCGGAAAAGGGATCTGAGATTCAGGGATTTTAGCCATCATTCCTCCGTAAGGATTCCATATCATCAATGGCATATGCCACATATCTTCAGTAAGCAACTTATTGAACATTCCTTTAAGCCCTAATTCGGAGATCGGATTCTTCACGAAATCCGATTTGGCTTTGAAGTTGATCTTTGGGAAAGGAGATTTCCCTTGAAGCAAAACATTAGTAGGAGTGCCGCTCGGGAATCCAGAAATGGACACAACGGACTCGATCCAGCTCATTTCAACACAATCTTTCCTTGTAAGCCCTAGCTCCGGAAAACTCTCCTTCATAACATTCGTCAACGTGCCTTTGTTTCCAAGAAACAGAGCATTGTACGACGTCGTCACAGTCTTGTTCTTGTTGTTTCCAGCTACGTTGAAGATCACTCTGATGAACAGCTCTTCAACAACCTTGTCCGCTACTACTTGCCACTTTGACAGAATCTTGTTTCCCACGTCTTGTTCTAACGTTTTGGTGACGGTGAAGACGGTAACGGTCTTAGGAACAGGAACAAGCTTGATCTTCCACGCAAGAATTACCCCGAAACTCCCTCCACCGCCTCCTCTGATCGCCCAAAACACATCCTCACCCATTGCTATTCTGTCGAGTAATTTGCCGTTAGCATCAACGATCTTTGCGTCTAGCACGTTATCTCCAGCGAGACCATACTTCCTCATCAACACCGCCTGTTATCTGTCCTCCTATGCCTACGCTCGAGCACAAACCCGCCGGAAACCCATGGACTTTGCTCTTCTCTGCAATCCTACATTTAACAAGAACAAAAATTCTTTAAAAATCTACAACCGAAGATTTCAGATTAAAAAAACAAAACAAAAAAAAAAAACAAAGATTGAATTTTTGAAAGATTTTTTTTTGCTATTCATATACCTATAGTAAAGTTCACCAAGGTAGCACCAGCTTGAACCCAAGCACTATTGTCTTCAATATCAACATTGATATGTCTCAGCTTTGACAGGTCGATCAATATAAACGGTTTTTCGATATGCGAGACGTAAGACAAACCCTCGTAATCGTGACCGCCGCTTCTGACACGGAGATGAATTCGGAGTTTCTTGGAACATATTATGGAAGCTTGGACGTGAGACTCGTGGAGCGGTTTGAATATGAATACCGGTTTAGGCATGGATCTTGTCAAGAACCGTAGATTCTGAGCTGTGGACTCAAGGACTTCGTTGAAGATCGAGGCGTTTCTTTCGGATGTGAAGAACGTATTGTTGAGTGGGAAATCGACATTTGTGTTTCTGTGGAGACAGTTGATGAAGCCATCTTGTAGAGAGGAGGAAGAAGTTGGTGTGATTTTGTAGAAAGAAAAACACAGAGCTAAATACGAAATAAAAGAAAATGCATGGACTGGTTTTGAACTTCCCATTCCTTCAAAGAATCACTAATCTTTCGTAAAACCTACGAGGACAAGAAGGAAACAAATGTGTATGATTATAAAAAGAGAGGAAAGAATTATGAGAAAACAAGATCCATAAAGTTAGTTAACTAACGTGGTTGCTGTGGTTAAGAGGGAAATGATTCGTTGACATTAATTACGAATATTTTCTCCTGACCTGACAGACTTTTCTTAGTGACGTGACAGCCATTTTTTCACGTGTATTGAAAAGGTTGACTCTGTTTTAATTAACTAGTAGTCTAGTATGTGAAAAAGTAGATAACTTGAAATGCACATCAATTTGACAAAAAACATTAAGTTAAAAGATTCAATTGTTTCAACTTTCAACTGGTAGGAGGCTGTGTAGGTCTGCATGTTGTTGTGTCTTCATTTTACTCCAAGTCCATGTTCCTCCGTTTGTTGCATTTGCCAGTTTATTGACTAAAATAACCCACGAGTAAAGACCCGGTTCTTGTTCATAGATGTTGTAAAAGTGCATCATTTGATTTCCTTTAGAAAGAAACCAACTTATGATCATTGATCAACACTCGTTAGCACAACTGCAAAAATATCTTACGCAAGCCTGGAGGTTACATAATCGAATGATGTTTGTGACATAAATAATATTACATGATAGTCATAGAACGATCTTGATTTTCACCAAGAATTACAGATTTTAACGACTTGATTAAAGAATTGGCTACTAATTAACAAAACTTATTGGGTGACTCATAAAAAGCAATAACTTGAATTTTACGTAAAAACAAAGTACTACAGGCAATAACTTAAATATTATATTAGCTACAAACATTTTCTCAAACAGTGAAGAATCATTATCTGATTTCTTCTACTTTATTCTTACTAATAGTTTTTCGTTATCACGAGCTTATCTTCGAACGGACAGTGTTGGGATGCTCTGCTCATGTCTGAAGAAGTTTTCTGGGTCAACCTTTGATTTAACCTTGACCAATCTGTTGAAATTGTCTTTGAAGTAACTAGCTCCCCAGGATTGAGCTTGTTTGACGCTCGCGTTTATCTTGTTCTTTCCTAGGTCAAGATCTCTGTAGTTGACATAAGCTTGTCGTGGATTGCTTGAGACATACGGCGTCATGTAACTGTAAAGATCTCTGATCCAGTTGATATGTCTGCTCGTTCTCCTATCACTCTCTGGCCAATTCGTCACGTACTGGATCTTGAAGATGACTCCTTTTCTATGCGGGAAAGGGATTTGGGATTCAGGGATCTTCGCCATCATTCCTCCGTAAGGGTTCCATATCATCATCGGCATATCTTCTTTAAGCAACTTCTTGAACATCCCTTTAAGCCCTAATTCGGGAATAGGCTTCTTCACGAAATCGGATTTGGCTTTGAAGTTGTTCTTTGGGAAAGGAGACTTCCCTTGAAGCAAAACGGTAGTAGGAGTGCGGCTTGAGAAGCCAGAAATGTAAACAATGGACTCAAGCCAGCTCATTTCGAGACAATCTTTAGCCGTTAACCCTAACTCCGGAAAGCTCTTCTTCATAACTTGCATCAACGCTCTTTTGTTCCCAAGAAAAACAGAATTGTACGACGTCGTCACAGTCTTGCTCCCGTTGTTTGCAGCTACGTTGAAGATCACTCGTATGAATAGCTCGTTGACAAGCTTGTCCGCGACGACTTGCCACTTCGAAAGAATCTTGTTCCCCACGTCTTGTTCTAACGTTTTCGTGACGGTGAAGACAGTAACGGTCTTAGGAACCGGAACAAGCTTGATCTTCCACGCAAGAATCACCCCGAAACTCCCTCCAGCACCTCCTCGAATCGCCCAAAACGTATCCTCTCCCATGGCTTTTCTGTCGAGTATTTTGCCGTTCGCATCGACGATCTTTGCGTCAAGAACGTTATCTGCACCAAGACCGTACTTCCTCATCATGGAACCGTACGCACCGCCTGTTATATGCCCACCAACGCCTAAGCTCGAGCACAAACCCGCCGGAAAACCATGTACTCTGCTCTTCTCCGCAATCCTATAAGTAACACAACAGTTTCTTGAATCAAAGATTTCGATAGTGAAAGATTTGTTTGTTTAATTATTGTATATACCTGTAGTAAAGTTCACCAACTGTAGCACCAGATTGGACCCAAGCACTGTTGTCTTTGATATTGATGTTGATCTGTCTCAGCTTCGAGAGATCCATCACTACAAACGGTTTTTCGATCTCCGAGACGTAGGACAATCCTTCGTAGTCGTGACCGCCGCTTCTGATACGGAAATGGATTCCGAGTTTCTTGGAACAGATGATGGAAGCTTGGACGTGAGACTCGTGGACCGGTTTGAATATGAATCCCGGTTTAGGCATGGATTTTGTCAAGTACCGGAGATTCTGAGCCGTCGATTCGAGGACTTGGCTGTACATGGAGACGTTCTTGGCAGGTGCGAAGAACGTGTTTTCGAGTGGGAAGTAAACATGTGTGTTTTTGTGGAGACAGTTGATGAATTGATCTTGTACTGAAGCTGAAGAAGTTGGTGTTATGGTGTAGAGTGAGAAATATAAGACCAGAATCGAGAGAAATGTTTTAGAGACTCCCATTGTTTCTGTTCTATTGCTTGCTACTCGTTTGATCCCAACAGCATCTGCAAAATTCAGTCTATAAATGGAAAAAAAATATCTTAACTTTTTTTGCACGTTATCATTAAAGTTTCCACAAATGTTAAACTTTTTGTTTCTTCTCTGTGAGCATTATTGCTTATGGGCCTAAACTTTTATGATAAAGTTGGCACATTCGATTACCAGGACAGAATGAAGTCAAAATAGTCATCATGGCATTGTTGATTTTGATGATACCACTAAAAACTCAGTGCCAGTTTAAAGTACAGAACAAAGTTGCTCTTTAAGAGACTTACAAACTTGACCGAAGTTAGTTACGTTTCACGGTGGAGACGACGACGACGACTGAAGACTGAGTCAAGAATTTTGAAACACATACCGAAATATGAAAGAGATCGTTGATTTTAAAGGTCAATGACGACGAGTGTGAGACAGCCATATTCTTCAAGTGACGTGAAGGTGACGTGACGTGACGGACATTTTTGTTATCATGTGTTTGAAAAACGTTGTAGCTTGTGTTTATAGAAAACTGAAGTTTTAGGTGGCGAAATATTCGTGATTATCCTTGTTTTCAGCTGTTTTGTTGTTGTTGTTCTAGTTCAATTTGAAAATCCCGACAATACATTTTTTTTTTTTGCAGTCATTGTAAAACACATACTAAAAATAATAATTACGAATGTTTAATTTCTTGATTTTGTGCAATTTTTCTTTTGTTTAACGGAGAAATGTATATATTTACATATACCCTTTCCTCCGTTTCAAATTAGTTGTCATTTTGGAAAAATGTATCTGCAATTATCTGGATGTATTAAACTCAAAACACATCCAGATACATCCAAATGATTGTAGTTACATTTTCCAAAACCGACAACTAATTTGAAACGGAGCGAGTATTTGTTTGTTTTGTATATTTGATCTAGTTATAGCAATAGTCACACACTGATTAGTTGAGACTCAAGAACAGTGTTCTAAAAAGCGGTCTAGGCGGCCGCCTAGACACTGCCTAGACACTAGGCGTTCATAAACCGTGGTGATTATCTTATAAGCGCCTAGTTAATTATAAACATACGTTTTATCTAAATTTTTATTAATAGTTTAACATAATTCATTTTATGGATATTTTTACCTAACAAAGATCTATTATAGTTTATATAGTTTAGTTTTAGTTATCTTCTAAATTTTTAGTGTATTTTGAATTTGATATAATATAATGTTGCATTATATATTTAAAATATGTGTAATATATAAATTTATTTCCCAAATTATTTAAACGCTTAAACATCCGGTTAGATGTTTTAGATACTATGCACTGGATCACTGCTTAGCGTCTAGCACTTTTTTAACTGCCTATTTAGCGTCTAGCGCTTTCTTGAACACTGCTCAAGAGTATATGGCCTAATGTCGTATTTTCTCATAATGTTAGGTGTTTCTAATAAAAATCTCATACACCTATTATCAACGCGATCTTGTTCTGTTAGGATTGGGTTAGGTCGAGATTTTTATATGAGATGTAGTAGAAAAATAGGTTCTTCAGTCCATATAGAATCCACCTATGTCTGTCCAAACCCAATTAGTCAATTTGTTTTTGTTTGGTAGATTGTGGACCGGTTCCGAATAACCACCGGTCGGGATTTGTTACGATCACGTGGATCAGTCCATTGCAGATGTTTTCAAATAATTTAGCCCTAATTAGACCCGTCAATGATGAATTTATGAATCATACTCATATATCAAATGACGAAATTATTTGAATAAAGAAACCATAATTAGAATCAGAAAATTTAAACAAAACAAACATTACTAGCTATTACTTTTTCAATTTCTGGTGAGCCAAATCTTTTTGTCGTTATAACGTTTTGGCTGCGAGTGTGTGGGAGGGACATGTCAATTATCTCCATCCCATTCTTTTTTTTTGTCAACAGCCTTTATTTCTACAACAGCTCGGGAATCCAAACTGGTGAAATAGAGTTTACATAATACACATCTGTAGGTAGATCTCGAGCACTTTGTGCTAACTTGTCTGCCTTTGTGTTGTTCGTCCTTGGAATATGCATGATGTTGAAAGAGGTGAATCTCCTCTTACATCTGTCAACCTCGTCAAGTAGTGTTGAGAACGCCGGCCACTCCTCTGGTTTAGACACCATCTTCACCACATCGGAACAGTCCGTCTGAAACACCATTACCAATTTGTTATGCCGTATCATGCATTGCATGGCCCAAATGAGAGCCTCCAGCTCTGACTGAAGTGGGGATATTCCCCGCCTCAAATTATATGTTCCCATAAGTTTATCAGGAGAATCCGTGTTGAAAAAGTACCATCCTAAATCAGCTCTACACTCTGTGTCTTTCCAAGCCCCGTCCACCTGACAAATGTCACCTGTATCTCCATCCCATTCAATAGAATAAAAATAGGCTAATTATTTGAAGTAAAACCCGGTTAGGCTCCGATTTGACACCACCACATTAACCCAATATTTTCTACAATTTAAGTGGGCCATTTTTATTTTATTCGTCAGAAAATAATAAAATATATGTGTTGGAGAGAGTGTGGGGACATGTCAATTATTTTCACAATTTAACTATTTTAATTTATAAACGGTTAACAAATTTAGTCCTACCATAGCAGATTAGAACTGATATCTTCGGTTTGCATATATATAGAACAATTCGGTTTACAAATAACCTCGGTTTAATTTTGGTTTGATTAGTTTCATTATTCAAGTATATTATTACCAACCCTAAGAAAAATCCATAGAGAGAGAAAAAAAAGGCTTTCAAATACTTTCCAAGGAATTACAAATTTGAACTTTCAAATATCATCAACAGATTTCAGAACTGGAATACTCTGTTCATCACAGAAGAAATCCATTGGATCAACACTTGTTTTCACTCTCACCAATCTATCAAAGTTGTTCTTGAAATACTTCACACCCCAAATCTTTCCTACCTCGTACTTTGTCTTCTTCATATTCATCCCAAGACCATAAATCCCCAAATCAATATCTCTAAAATTGACATAAGCTCCTCTTGGTGAATCCGAAACATAAGGAGTCATGAAATCGTAAACACTCTTGACCCATCTCATATACTTCTCTGTATCAGTCTTGTTCTTATCTTCTTCTTCTTTCCAATAAGCCAAATACTGAATCTCATAAACATTCCCTTCTCTATGTGGGAATGGTATTTCATATTCCGCAATTTCACTCATTTTTCCACCAAATGGAGTGAGTATGATCTTTGCAAGTCGAGCCTCAGGCGCGTAGAACCGTCTCCAAAGCTCTCGGATTGCGGTTCTTGGTATCGGTTTTTGGATGAAATCGTCTTTACCTTTGAAAGATCTCGACGTACGCTTACGTTTCCTAAGATCATCTATTGATTCTTCATTGACAAACCAGAGAACAGACTCAATCCAACTGACCTCTCTACAATCTCCAATCTCAAGACCTAACTCCGGAAACTTCTCTTCCATTAACGCTAATAGATAACTTACCGGACCAAGATAAAGTCCCGGGAACGAAGCATAAACCGCGGTTTCGTTGGATCTCTGCAACATAGCCCTAATAAAAAGATCATCAGGAACCTTATCCGCAACATACTGCCATTTGTTGATAACCGAGACAGCCTCTTTCTCCGATGTTTTCTCCACTTTAAAGACCGTTACCGTCGATGGAACTTCCACCAATCTAATCTTCCATGACAAGACAACGCAGAAGCTTGATCCACCACCTCCACGGATAGCCCAAAATAAATCCTCACCCATGCCTTGTCGGTCAAGAAACCTTCCGCTTGCATCCACAATATGCGCATCGATTACATTATCCGCCGCTAAACCGTATTTTCTCATCAACGTACCGTACCCTCCACCGGCGAATTGCCCTCCAACGCCGACGGTTGGGAAAAGACCGGCCGGAAAGGCCAAAGATTTGCTCGATTTCCCAATCTCGTAGTACAATTCTCCAAGTGTAGCTCCGGTTTGAACCCAACCGGTCCGGTTATCAACATCTAATGTTATAGACCGGAGATTCCTTAAATCAAGGACAACGAACGGTCTGTTTTTGGCGATGTACGAGAAGCCTTCGTAGTCATGACCACCACTCCGAGTCCTGACGTGGACACCGTGAAGACGTGCGCATATAATCGTCGATTGAACATCAGTGGCTTGAACCGGAGTGATGATTGAGACCGGTTTAGGTGTTTCGAGGACTGAGAATCTTGGATTTTGTATGGAAGAATTCAAGATTGAGAAAAAAGAAGAATCTTTAGAGGTGTGTATGACTCTAGTTTCGACGGTAAAGTCGTTTATTCGGCGAGAGAGACACCGGAGAAAGTCTCCGTGGTTAGTCCGATGAGCTGAAATCGAAGGAAAATGAAAAATAGAAAAATTCAACAGAAGAGTATGCGTAAAAAGAGAAAGCAAAAAGCTCAAAATCTCCATAATTGATGCAGAGACTGAAGATGTATAATAAGATGGATCTAAAGTACTTTATATTCTTTATATTCGATCTACTGAAGTGGGTTTAGGCCACGATTCTTTTTTATATAAACAGATTTTATCCAACAACCTAGATTTACTGATGTTTCATTAAAAACGTGATTGATTTCTAGAGACTTCCGACAATTATTGGATTATACTTCAACTTGTTTTTAACAATATGGTGGATGCTAGCTATGTACTGATTTACGAATAAATTAAAGAATTTTAAAAATGATCGATTACAGGTATACTGTTTAAAGAAAACAAAATTTTCCGTGGTGGTGGTGTGGTTGGATCGGATGTTACATCATTTACTACATAAGGCCGTTTTCTCTTGTCATGTATGTTGGTCCACAGGTCCTGCCTTGCTTGTCACTTAAGGGATTATTTTTTTTCTTTTCTTATTGGTTTAAGGGATTTTGCTTTCGATATTGATTCAGTTGTTCAAAAAAAAAAAAAAAGGCTTACTATGTCCGTCTTCAATGTAATCTTGAGTTTACATCACTAATTCACTGTATATGATCACATATAATGTGAGTACTGAGTACTATAATTATTCCTTTTGTAACTAAAGAGGTTTTGGGTAGTCACATAAATTTTATTTTTAACTTTGTATAGAGATAATTGATTTTACTCTAGATAATTTAATTTATCTTGTAAGTTGTAATCCAGTTCTAATGAGAGTCTAATAATTCTTCCAAAACTTTTTTTCTGTTCTTGCTTTCCTCACTTTATCATTAGTGCTCAGTGTTCAAGAATGCGCTAGGCGCTAAAGGAGCGGTGAGCCAGTGCCTAGCGCCTAAAACACCTAATCGGAACCTAGGCGATTGCTAGGCGTTTTTGAAATTTACAAAATAAACCTATATATTATATATTTTAAATATATTAAATTCAAATACATTCAAAAAATTAAAAAAATATTAAAACTATTATAAAAAGTATAATATATTCATATTATATAAAAAAATATGCATAAAAATGAATTTTATTAAATTATAAATAAAAATTTAGATAAAATCACGGTATATGAATACTTAGGTGCCGAGAAGGTAATAGCTACAGTTTATGATCGCCTAGCGCCTAAACCGCCTTTTAGAACACTGTTAGTGTTTAATAGCCAGTATTATGTGTAGGGAAGGTGTATGCAGTCTTATGCAGTCTTAGTTTGTCTATTTAGTGCAGTAGACATTGTTCAGTTTTGTTCATTGTTATCTTATATATAATTAGGAGAGTTGCTCTCTCCATCTAGAGTGTCCACATCAGCACAAAAACATTAAATTGTATTTAAAATATTTATTAAATATATGACTATTCATATTTCTTTACATTTATTCATATTTAATAAAAATATACAAATAAATTTAATTAATAGAAAGTATGTGATAATTTGATGTTAAAAGTTATCAAAAAGTTGGAATATAAAATAGAGATGGAGTAAAGAAATATTTAACTTCAAATAGTATATATTTACCTTTTTATTCAAAGGATTATCTATTTAAAAATGTTATAATGTGTTTACAAGTTAAAAAGTTGAATATAAATTAATTAAGATAATAGAAAGCTAATGAAAATTAGAGTTAGAGTTTGTTTTTCTAAACAAATAGAAATGGAGTTTTATATGTAAATTTAATTGTAGTGAAAAACAAGAATATGTTTACAAATTTTAACCTTCAGTCAAATGGTCAAATGCATATACATATTTATAAATTTTAACCTTCAATCAAATACATATACATGTTTACAGTCTAATAGAGTAAAAAAAAAGTAAACAAAATAATATTTATAACATGATAAAATTTTAGAAATAGAAAAATCGAGATAAAGCGGGGTGTTAATATCCTAATAAATTAAAATAAAAAAAAAAAATTATTCATATTTTTTAGTGTTAGTGGTTGAGTTAACTCAAAACCATCATAATTCAAATCAACGAGTATAAATAAATATAAACAGAAAAAAATATCGTAAATAACCCGCGCTTGCGCGGGGCTTCAAACTTTGTACAATTAATGTCTTTTTGACATTCGCTTGATTAAGAAATTGAGAGAGTAACGTGGTTACGTATAGACCTTGGTGATATTAATGGATCCGAAACTACCATAAAGCTTCTCTCGATGAGTCTCGAAATTAACGTATGGGCTTAGTTAGAGCATATGGGGCTGATCCTGACGATTATCCAATATACAACTTTACCGAATTCCACTTGCTTGCTCTTGAAGAAACTGTAGGGTTTATAATACAAATAGGATTACACACATAACCTCTCCATTTTTAGAGCCCCACTTTCTTGTTCTTGAAGCACAAACATAAATCATGATATGTTTATTCAGCACACATATATCACAATCACATAGATAACTTAGACCATCAACTTCTGAACACAGAGATGATTTTGACAAACAAAGAAAAGCTTTTAACCCCAGAAAAAAAAAAAAAAAAAAAAAAAAAACAAGAAACAAGAAACAAAACACAAAGAAAAAGCTCATAACTAAACTTCCTTCCGAAGATATTAATTTCTCACATATCCTCGACGGAGTTCATCAGTGGAATGCTCTGTTCATCGCAGAAGAAATCTGTTGGATCAACACTCGATTTCACTCTCACCAACCTCTCAAAGTTGTTCTTGAAGTACTTCACTCCCCAGCTCTTTCCTTCCTCGTACTTGGTCTTCTCCTTTCCAAGATACATCCCCAAATCAAGATCCACGTAGTTGACATAAGCTCCTCTTGGAGATTTCGAAACATAAGGAGTCATAAGATCGTAAACACTCTCCACCCATTTGAGATACTTCTCTGTCTCCTTCTTGTTCTTGTCTTCTTCCTCTCTCCAGTAAGCCAAATACTGAATCTCATAAAGATTCCCTTCTCTATGAGGGAATGGTGTTTCGTGCTCAGCGATCTCACTCATCTTCCCACCAAATGGAGTCAATACGATCTTTGCAAGACGAGCCTCGGGCGCTTCTAGTCGCCTCCATAGCTCTCTAATCGCTGCATCGGGCATCGGCTCTTGAACAAAATCATCTTTACCCTTGAAAGATAAAGATGAACGCTCACGGTTCACAAGAACATCAAGAGATCCTCCTTTAGGGTTATCAAGAAACCAGACCACAGACTCAATCCAGCTCATTTCCGTACAATCTTGAACCTCAAGACCTAATGTTGGAAACTTCTCTTCCATCAAGGCCAATAGATCGGTCACTGGACCGAGGTAAAGTCCGCTGAATGAAGCGTGAACCGCGTTTTGGTTTGATCTCTCCAACGTTGCCCTAATGAAAAGATCATTAGGAACCTTATCCGCAACATACTGCCACTTGTTGATGACCTGAACGGCCTCTTTCTCCGACGTTTTCTCCACTTTAAAGACCGTTACCGTCGACGGAACATCAACAAGTCTAATCTTCCATGATAGTATCACTCCAAAGCTCGCTCCACCGCCTCCACGAATGGCCCAGAAGTAATCCTCTCCCATTGCTTGTCGGTCAAGAATCCTCCCACGTGCATCGACCACAAGTGCATCGATCACGTTATCGGACGCTAAACCGTATTTTCTAAGCAATGTACCGTAACCTCCGCCGCTGAACTGTCCTCCGACGCCGACGGTTGGGTGAATACCGGCCGGGAAAGCAAGGGATTTGGTGGTTTTCCCAATCTCGTAGTACAGTTCTCCAGCAGTTGCTCCGGTTTGGACCCAACCGGTACGGCTATCAACGTCTAGTGTGATAGACCGAAGATTCCTTAAGTCGATGACAACGTACGGTTTGTTGTACGCGATGTAAGATTGACCTTCGAAGCCGTGACCACCGCTCCGAGTCCTCACATGGACTCCGTGCACACGCGCGCATCTGATCACGGCTTGAACCTCAGTGGCTTGAACCGGAGTGATGATTGAGATCGGTTTAGGTGTTTCGGGAACCGAGAATCTTGGATTCTGTATGGAAGAAGTCAAGATTGAGGAGAAGGAAGAGTCTTTGGAAGTGTGAATGGTTTTGGACTGGAAGGTGTTTTGGTTTATTTTGCGAGAAAGACAACTAAGGAAGTCGTCGTGGTTAGTGCGATGAGCTGAAACAAGAAGAGAAAGATTCAGAAGAACTAGTAAGAGAGAGAGCGAAAAGCTTGAGGACTTCATGTTCTAAGATGGTTTGATAGTTGTAGAGAGAGTGTGGAGATGGAGTGTGGTTTTATAGAGAAAAGAGTTGATAAATATCTCAACTTTTGAAAATTTGAGAAAAAGTCCTTAATTACACCAAATTTGTGGAAGAAGCTGTTTTCTTGTTCTATCTTTCCGAAAACGAGTATGAAAATGTGATCGTGCTCAAAACAAAGACTTATAAAAATATGCTTACATAGCGAGAACGTTAGTTGGAATGGTGAGTCATAGCTTATAAGCTTTATAAAAATAGGCTCGAAATTTCATAAGTTATGTATGACTCATATCATATGACTCTTAACTTCTTAAGATAAGAGTGTAATAAATGCGGGTGGATCAGGCACGCCTATCAATCGCAGTTAATTAGCATTAACTAGAGATTCAATCGTTCATTGATATTTGAACATTGCATGTTCTTAGCACGTCTTTTTGCTAGCTTTAAACTCTTTCTTAACTAGTACTATTTGGTTATAGTATATTATGTATTTGGATATGGTTTCTTATTGTCTTGATCTTACAGTCCTAGGATGCATATTATACATTTGCATTGCCTTTTGATCTTCCATTTAAGTATTATGGAGCTTGGAGGCTTAGCAAAAGAGACTGATGAGATGAAGAAGACAAGCCTTGATGATTTAATTAGCTTTGAATGGATACAAACATAGCAAAACACCTAAACAAACAACAGAAAAGGGACACAACTCAATTAACCGCTTAACTAGAAAAATTCGCAAAAATCAATTCTGAATGTGAAATTTCTGTTTGACGTCCGTGCATTAAATGATACTCAAGAATCAAGATCTTGTTTTACATATCAAGTGGGCATTCTTTATCTAAAATGGACATCCGAATAAAATAACAACAACGTAAATAAAAGACCCATAAAAGTATTAATCAGATTGATGATCATCTTTATTTATTATACTACTAAAACACTAATAATTGGAGATTTTTGACATTTTCCACTACTCCAAATCTTTTGGACAGATACGATTATGGATCCCACCTTCCTACATTAAAAATTTAAAAGTTAAAACTAATTCATTAACAAAAGTAACTTTAGGTCAATTAAGCAAAAAACAGAAAGTTGATTAAGCATTATTGTTGTTTTATGTTTCAAGTTTGAAGTTGAATGCGACTTAACAAAAGGCTCCTCAACTGCAAACAAAAAATGATTCTTATGAAGCCAAAACAAAAAAAAAAAATACTCAAATTACAAACCACCATTATCCTTAAGTGTAAATTTTAGTAAAGGTATCTAAAGCGAGGACAGTAGATTCGAGCAGGCCAAAACCAAACCACGTGATAGTGATCTCCTGAAGCAGCCAAGCCTTCATTCACATATCTTACAATAACTTTAGGTAGCTTCTCTCTTCAAATCAAGATTAAGAATCTCGTAAAAAAAAACCAATCAGAAGCCTGTTCATTTGATAATCTGTGGTCTGTTGCTACGAGTCTTCGATCTGGTTTTGTGGACTTTGGGTGGTGTATCAACCGTTAAAGCATACATTTTTACTGCAAATAACTCTTGCGGAAGACCCTTTTGATCCTGCAAACAAAATGGTTTTGGAGAAAAAAGACTGTAAATCTCTATACCAATACTTCTTTTGATACAGCCATAAGATAAATATATACAGAGAAGAACACAGACCCTTGTTAAATAGAGATGTAACCCACATCGACGAAAGAGCTGTTTATAGTACGGATCCGATCTGGTGATGCTATGATCCTCTTTATCCAAAACAAATCCTGCGCAAAACCAAAAGACAAAGTATATGCAGTTTTTGTGTCACAGAGAAGTTTTTAAATAAGAATGTCCAAGTGAGTTGTAGAAGAGAGAGAGCGAAAGAGACCTGTCTTAGCAAGATTCTCTTTCACGACAAAGAAACCACCGGGTTTAAGACAGCCCTGAGATCAAACCAAGAACAGATTAGACTAAGCAACATAGGAACTATGGTGCAGTGAAAGATAAGAAGCAAAGTCTTTACCTTTGCGCGGTTAAAGAAAGCAACAAAATCATCGTCCGTGAGATGACCAATGCACCATTGAACCCATATCACATCGTACCTTTGAGCAGCTGGAGTAAACTCCTACGATCATATAAGCAAAAGTGAATGAAAATTGAAAAAACAAAGATAAGATTAAAGAAATCAGAAATAGATACTATCAAGAACGATACCTGAAGAGGTACACAGAAAAAGTTTGTTGCTTTGTGCGTTTCTGATCCAACAGATGCCAAATTCTCACGCGCTACATCTAGGAATTGCTCCACAGGCTCAAGCAGATCAACCTAAGATCAAAAGAACACACACTTAGGAATAATGAAATGATAAAGAACAGAACTTTAACTTATAAGTATTCAAGCAAAACATTCACCTCGTTAAAGTATCGTATTAGAAGATTCTTAGTGATTCTTCCAATGCCAGATCCACAATCTGCAAATGATTGGTGTCATTAGCAAAGAAACACCAACGAGAGAAGAGAGTTTACTTACCAAGAGCCACTAGATGCTGATTTGTTCCTCCATTTACTAATCTTTCTTGCATAAGAGTCCTAAGAAAAACCTCACTTCCTAAGATATCAGCATCATTCACATGCCCATATCCTCCTAACACTCCATCAACAGAAGCTTCAACACCCTTTATAACAACAGAAACGCACAGATAAAAAATCATTTTTTGACTAAAAATGCTAGCTTTTAGAAGGCAATTCGAATGTAAGAAACTTAAACAGAGAACTAAACAGAGAAAAAATGTAAGGTTTTTGAGATGGGAAGTTTCGAGAACTTACTTCCCAATAAGAAACTCCGTCTTTGTACCACTGAGTTTTCTTCGTTTCGTCTCCTTCTCCGATTTCTTCTCTCCACATCTCTTTTGCGCTTCTAAACGTTTTGCCTTTAGAATCCAAACCACCAACCTCCATCGGATCCAACGATCGAGTTAAATAGCTACTTCCCTCTCTTCTCCGTCGATACAGTGACGGTGGCGAAGCAGACGTCGTCGGCGGCGGCGAGGTATGGTTCTGGTGGTTGTAATGGAAGTATCCCGCGGAAACAAATGGGCTGTAAAGAGAATAAGACATTTTTGTTATTGGGCTTTTTAGGGTTTGGTTGCTTTTTTTTATTCAAAGCCGGGTTCGGGTCTTAGACTATCCAGAACTCAACCCGACTCGCTTTCGCTGTCTTTAACGGGTCAAAGTCAAACCAAGCTTAGTTTAATTTTACATTACTAACATGTCTTTGTGTGTTATATTATAGTTATACAACTATTATTGAGAAACAAAGACGATGGAACCAATGAGGAACGTTATCAACGTGAATCATAATTTTTTTGTTAAAGTGAATCATAATTAATAAAATAGGCACGATATTATACTTGTATTGGTTAAAGAAATGTCTCTTGGTGACCATAATAAGCTAAAAATGTGTTTTTACTTAACAACACATCAATTACTGAATTCTGTAGCAGAAGTATATAACCTTTCTTTTTTATCATTTTCTTGGAAAATATTTACGAAAAAGCCAGAAACAAACTAAACAATCTTTTGTGTTTTGCTACCAGGGTCGGTCCTGAGGCAAGCCAAGTGAGGCTTTTGGCTTGACCCCCACATTTTTGTTAAGAAAATTTGTATAGATTTTGGCCCCCAAATTTTAAAAAATCAATTTTTGACCGCAAAATTTATCAAAACCTTACTAAATTATTCTGGCCCCCGATTTTTCAGGGCCGACCTGTTTGCAACAACCAAGTTTTGAACTTTTGATAAATGGTTAAAAGTAGAGTTCGATTTTTTGTTTTGATTGCAAATTTCCACGTCCTTAAAAATCTTATCTACAATATTCCAACTTTTTTTTGGGATAAATTATATGAAGAATCAGCAAATCTTAAAATTTTAACGTCATAACTCATACAACATGGCGAATCAGATCGTCGTCAACAGTCAACACTGCCAAAAATGGAATCTTTCCCTTATTTTAGTGTCCACACCACATGTATCATCTATGTATTATTAATTGTATGTTCAAGATCATAGCTAATTTCAGTTTAACATTCAACATAAATATTTTAGTTTTTTTTTATGAGTATAGATCTAGAAACAAATTTATAAACATTTTCTTTAAGATTCTCTCTTTTACTCCTTTATTAATCAGTCTCCGCCTCGTGATTCAAAGTCTTTAATTATATAATAACAGAGTATTCAGTCTCCGCCGCGTGATACTCAAGTCTCCGGTTATATTAACAGAGCAAGTAACAAGAAGAAAGAAGAAGAAGAAAGAAACCATGGAGATCAGTAACGAGAAGAAGAAACTCTCGAGACAATCTTCTTCCTTCAGGCTACGAAGTCCGAGTCTAAACGCTCTCCGTCTCCACCGTATCTTCGACCTGTTCGACAAAAACAGTGACGGATTCATCACCGTCGAAGAGCTGAGCCAAGCACTCTCACGACTCGGTCTCGACGCCGACGTATCCGAGCTCAAATCAACCGTCGAGTCATTCATCAAACCGGACATAACCGGACTCCGGTTCGACGATTTCGCAGCGCTACACAAAACCCTAGACGAGTCTTTCTTCGGAGGAGACTGCGAGTGCGTCGACGGATCTCCTGAATCAGATCTCGAAGAAGCTTTCAACGTGTTTGACGAAGACGGTGACGGATTCATCTCCGCCGTGGAGCTGCAAAAGGTTCTGAAGAAGCTTGGACTTCCTGAAGCAGGAGAGATCGAACAGGTGGAGAAGATGATTGTCTCTGTTGATAGCAATCACGATGGTCGCGTTGACTTTTTCGAGTTCAAGAACATGATGCAAACAGTTCTTGTCCCTTCCGCTTGAATCTTTCAGATAAAATGTCTCGTTTGAATGCATAACAAGTCCAAGATAGATCTTGTGTAATGTTTGATTACAAGAAAAACAAATTATGTTATGAAACTTTGTTAAAGTCTAATCCTTTCTAATGGCATGATTTTTTTTTATATGTTGCATTTGCGTTTTACGTTTTATAATGTTTTGACATGCAAAAGCAAAGCTATAATCGTAGCCTTTAGAATGGAAAACAAAAGGAAACGGTTGAAGTTGTTGCCGTGAGACTTTTGTGTTATTAATAAGAGCAGGGCTCATGCTCTCCAATCTCCACCTATCTGAAAACACTATAAGTTATACGTACATAGCTTTTTTTTTTGTGTTCCGTTCTGTTTAGATGATCATAAAAGTAACATCTATGAACGAACAAACCAAAAACCAAACCAAATCGAATTTAGTGGTTTCATCTTTGATAACCGGAAAGCAGATTTATAAATTAAAAAAAGAAGGAAATTCCCTTATTGAGAAGGGTTATATATTAACTTAACAAATTAAGGAACTTAAAATCAAAATGGTAAAAATCCTTTAACAAAAAAAAAACAAAATCAAAATGGTAACTAAATTTAATAAAGGATATATTATATATATATATAGGAATGGAAACAAAGCTATCTATCGAAATATATCTATCTATAAGAATGGCCTAATGAAATAATAATAAATATCTCGACAATTCATTCTCTCATAATGTCTTTGTTGTCAGTTCGTGGCCGGATCAATATTGTCCGACTACGTGATTTTGCTTCTTTATTTCGTTCTTCTTCTTCTTCTTCTTCTGTTGCGGCTGAGAAAACGATTAACTGATCGGTGGTTACGACTAATGAGTCGGTGTTGGATTGGTGAAAATCTACACTTTTTCTAGCAAGCCTAACATTTGTTATCCTTGGCAAAATGAGCGACAACAACAATCCAAAGGCTCAGGTATGTAATATATTAGCATGTGCATGTGATTCGTGTATTAGAGCCTTATTATGTTTTGAAGTTTATTGGAGCATATATACTAAACTTTTTTTTTTGAAGTATACTGGCATGTGCATGCAATTCGTATATTAGAGCCTTGGTGTATATAACGCTTAAAACTCATGTGCTGGCTAAGCACATATTGGAAGCCCTTTAACAAAATAAAATAAAATAATAAGTCACATATTGGTGTTGTTTGTTCGTTAATTTTGACTAATTTTTTTGGAGATTTGATTTAGGTTTTGTGATTTCGGGGAAAAGGATTATTACAAACGCGCATGTGGTGGCTGATCACATATTGGTGCAAGTCAGAAAGCATGGCTCACCAAAGAAGTACAAAGCAGAAGTTAAAGCCATCGGGCGTGAATGTGATTTGGCTATGTTGGTGATCGAAAGCGAAGAGTTTTGGGAAGATATGAATCCTTTGGAGCTTGGAGACATGCCCTTTCGGAAAGAATCAGTAGTTGTTGTTGGATATCCACAAGGTAATGTATAGTGAAGTGTTTACATTAAAGAAACGGATAATGAGTTTATGATCTGCGTTCAATATTTCAATCGCAGGTGGTGAGAGTATCTCCACTACAACAGGTGTTGTGAATAGAATCGAATCACAATATTATCGTCATGGTGCCACTAATCTACCGGTAATACAAACAGATGCAGCAATTAACCATGGAAACAGTGGTGGTCCGGTTTGCATAGGAAACAAAGTTGTTGGTGTAGCGTTTCAACATCGTAGACATTCGAATAATATAGGGCAAGTTTCGGATGATTTTACGCATATATATATATATATATATATATATATATATATATATTTTTTTTATTTTTTTTTTTTTCTAGCAATTGAAATCAAAAGTTTAACTAACAAAATTTTGCGGGTTTTCACCAAAACAGGTACTTAATCCCAGCTCCAGTAGTTAAACATTTTATAACCGGTATCGAAAAAACCGGTCACTACGTTGGTTTCTGCTCGCTGAATCTATCATACCAACCTATGGGGGATGCTAATATTCGTAGTCATTTTGAGATGGATTCTAAAATGACAGGGGTTCTTATATACAAAATAAATCAACATTCGGATGCTATCAACATTATTAAAAAATATGACATAATTCTTGCAATCGATGGTGTTGCTATAGGAAATGATGGTATAGGTAATATTTTTCTTTTTTACTTATATTATTTGTGTTGGTGTAATTACTGAGATTTATATCTGCTGCAGTTGTTTTACCAAACAGAGGAGAATTAAGGTTGGATGATTTGGTTGCTATGAAGCAATTAGGTGAGACAATCTTACTTAAAGTCTTAAGAGAGGGAAAAATGCATGAGTTGAGTATCACTCTAAAGCCAGTAAGTCATATTATTTGTGAATCACTTAATCATCTTATCACGTTGTAGTCTAAATTAACGGATGATTTGTGGTCAATCTACTCTATGAAGGTGCAACGGCTAGTTCCAGTTGATCAATCTGATAACAACTCAAGTTATTACATATTCGCTGGTTTAGTCTTTGTGCCTCTCAGTAAACAACACATCAAAGGTCCCAACGCTATGCATAGACTCGCATATAACAATACTCCCAAAAAAGCCGGTGGTCAAGTTGTCATTATTTCTGAGGTTTGTGCCTTTCTTTTTCTAATAGTAAAAACATATATAAATGATTACTTTTTTTCTTAGTAGTTAGAAAGGAATTAGTATAAGTTAATAGATCTAAATAACAATGTTTTATTCGTCGTTAACGTTAGAATTGTTGTTTTTCTTATTGTAGATATTAGCTGATATGATCAATGTGGAATATTAGGGGTGTCAAAATGGATCCAAATCCATGGGTTGACCCAATCCATCTTATCCATTAATCCAAATGGATTAAAAATTTGGATCCAAATGGGTTAATGGTTCACATGGGTGATGGATTAATTGGATTGGATTGAAATGGTTTGGTTTATAATGGGTTGGATCAATGGTTAACCCACATTATTAAAAAAGAAAAAAACAGTTATACATCAAATGTTTTTTCCCACATAATAAATCCAAAATTGTATTTGGTTGGATTTGAATACAATACCATAAAAGAATGATCTTACAAATTTGACAAAAAAAAACGATTTTACAATTTTGGTATAAATCGCAAAATCACAGTTTTCCGCCAAGGTTTCCCACCAAAACCGCAAAATCACGAGTTTCCCGCAAAATCGCAATATCACGGTTTCCCGCCAAAATCGCAAAATCATGTTTCCCGCCAAAACCGCAAAATCACGAGTTTCCCGCCAAAACCGCAAAATCACGAGTTTCCCGCCAAAACCGCAAAATCACGGTTTCCCGCCAAAACCGCAAAATCACGAGTTTCCCGCCAAAATCGCAAAATCACGGTTTCCCGCCAAAATCGCAAAATCACGAGTTTCCCGCCAAAATCGCAAAATCACGAGTTTCCCGCCAAAATCGCAAAATCACGAGTTTCCCGCCAAAATCGCAAAATCATGTTTCCCGCCAAAACCGCAAAATCACGAGTTTCCCGCCAAAACCGCAAAATCACGTTTCCCGCCAAAATCGCAAAATCACGGTTTCCCGCCAAAATTGCAAAATCATGTTTCCCGCCAAAACCGCAAAATCACGGGTTTCCCGCCAAAACCGCAAAATCACAGTTTTCCCGCCAAAACCGCAAAATCACGGGTTTCCCGCCAAAACCGCAAAATCACGGTTTCCCGCCAAAACCGCAAAATCACGGTTTTCTATCAAAACCGCAAAATCAAGGTTTTCCGCCATAACCGCAAAACATGGTTTTTGGGGAAAGTTGTGATTTTATGTTTTGATGGAAAAACTGATTTTTACGGTTTTGGTTGAAAAACGTGATTTTACAGTTTAGGGAGAAAGACGTGATTTTACTGTTTTGTGCATAAATCACAATTTTACGTTGCAAAAAACAGTGAGTTTATGTTTTTGACGGAAACGTGGTTCTACGGTTTTGATGAAAAATCGTGTTTTGCGATTTTACGGTTTCGGCGGAAAGATGTGATTTACGATTTTGGCGGAAAGACATGATTTTACGATTTTACAGATTTAATGGGTTATAGATTTTTGTGATGTTTATAGATTTTGTTTAGTTATCTTTATTTTAATATATATAAATTTTTAGTTATATTTGTTTGTGGATCATCCATTAACCCATTCATCCATTAACCCATTAAAACCATCTAATTAAATGGATAATGGATCAAACCAACCCATTTCCTAAATGGATTGGATTAATCCATGATCCATTAGCACTAAATCCACTTGGATAATGGGTTGGATGGGTTGGGTTATCCATTTTGACACCCCTATGGAATACTACATGTTCAAGAATTCGCAGGTAACGAAGGATCATATTATATAGTTATAAATTTGACTAAAGTAAGACTATTTTGGCTTCTATAAATATTTTTGTGATGGAAACAGATGAAGAGCGTCAACGAGGTCAAGGTCAAGAATCTAAAGCATTTGTATGAACTCATAGAGAAATGTTGTGACAAAAATCTGAGGCTAGAGTTAGGAGATGGTCGAGTTATATTCTTGGATTATCAGTCGGCGAAAAGTTCCACTTCTTTGATCTTGGAACGTCATAGAGTACCATCGGCAATGTCCAAAGATCTCATGATTGATCAATCGTAGACTAGACATGTTCGAGCGAGAGTATAAAATCGAATTTTTGTTTATTCATACCAGTTATACATTCCGTTTTCGTTGAATTGATTCTCTACAAAATAATATTGTATACTTTATACGAAACAAAAAGATTTTATAGATTACTTTTCCTTAGTATAACAATTTTATTTTTAAATATTTATTTTGTAATATTTAAACGAGGAAATTTGGACCAATATTACATAAATTAATCATATTTTGAAAACTAACCCACTTTTTAAAATGTTGGTAAACTAATCTTTCTAATATTTAAAATTACTAAAATACCTTCAATTTTTTAGATATTAAAATTTTTTAAAATTTCGTTTATCTTATTTAAAAATTATTTAAATTGTGAAAAAAAAATTCTGTTATTCTGTGGGATATTCCCATAAAATCTGAATGAAATTTACAACAAGAAAACAAAAAGATATTTAGAAAATTTTATTTGAAATTTAACATGTCATAAATATAGAATATGAGTTAACTTTAACACATTCCATCATTTTTTTTTATGAATGAAGTGTGAGTTTTTCTTTGTTCTAAAATGATATTTATGTGTATATATTTATAGAGTTTGATTCATTTTTATGATAAATATGAATATATTTTCAAAATAACATGTGTATTTTTCAATATTTATTAAAAAATATATAAACACATTTTCGAAAATATCTTATATATATCTAAATTAAATATATATCTAAATTAAATAAGAATTTTTCTCATTATTAATAAGAAATGATAATGATTTTATTGTCTTTTCACTTATTAAAAATGTTAGTTTTCAAAAAATTTAAAATCAAGGATAGTTTTTAAATTATGAATTTTTTTTTTGTAATATTAAATCAACTCACCCTATTTAAACAAACAAATAACAAAAAAAATTGTTTTGTTCGGTTCAATTTATTCGGTATGTGAATACAAAGATGCGTTGGAGCATCAATCAATGAATCCACAACATCTCAATTTCAACATCTCGATCTTGTTTTCCATTTATCCGACACAATTTCAACTTGGCTAAGAATCGAAAGTAAATCTACAAGTATCGAAAATGAAAAACAGAATGAGTATACTTGTGCTATAAAAACATTACTTGTGCCAAAATATTCTCGCTCACCTACATGTGAAAAATTCTAGATCCTTTTAACAAAAAAAAAAAAAAAAGAAAAAAAAAAATTAGATATAACATTGTGTCAATGTGACTTTCGAACCAGTTTTGGCACAAGTGCATAATCAAATTCATGAAAACCACCAGAGTTCTTGTGTCATCACTAAAATTAATAGTTTAATAGGTAGGGTGGTTTTTGGCTTTTAAAATATTCAAGATCCAATATTGTTAGATGTTTGGGTCTCTAATATATATAAGCAAATTTGGGGATCTATGTTCATGACCGGATCTGACTATGTCGTATAACAACTATAGACATGGATAGACCATTAATTGGATAGAATATAAGATGAACTTACAAGGTATTAATATCAATAAAATTTAATCAACATACCACACTGACTTTCCTAAGAAATTATGAATCAAGAAGCAAAATCCAAGATTGTATTATTTAACCATACTAAGAAACCAAAATCACAATCCGTCTTAACAAAGAACAAAGAATGACCTATAAACGACCAGACAATAATAGTCACAATACCAATAGGATCAACAAAACCAAAATGCAAGAACTATATAATCTAACGTAGCTAAAACATTATTTATCGACATAAATAACATGGAAATTCAAAGCACATATGCCACATGCCTACGTCAAATTCACTGCTAGTTTCTTGATTTAGACATTAATCTTAGGAAAATGTTCTTAAAGGACAAAAAAAAAACATGGTAAGGAATTAAAGTAAGATCCATTACACATTCTAAAATAATCATCAGAATAATTATCTACAGAGAGTATTTGTGGAATGACATTCTACCTATCCCACATTTAAATATATAGTGCTAGTCTAAAAGATATATTGGAGGTCTAACAACAAAATAATTTATATATTGTTAGAAGAGAAATTTTAAGAAATACATATTTTGAGGTGTAAATTTTCAAAAATACACCTCTAGTGTGATAATGTTCAAAAATACATTTTTTCCTAATTTTAATATATATGTTTGAATTCATTAATGACTAGGAACTCACAATTTACCCCAATTTAATATATATGTTTGGGTTCACTAATCTTTGACTAGGGTTCACAATTTTGATGCAGAAACTTTAGGGGTTTGATTTTGATGCATATTGTGGAATTTGATTTTGATGCAGGAACCATCGGGGAGCAGAAGCAACATGCTAAAACAGCCATGTGTCTGAACAAATTCATCTCTTGGAAAGTAGATCAAAAAGTGGCAAACATTGTCAAAACTACTTTTTTTTTGGACGAACTAAAGCTTTTTATAGATGGTTACTCTCCATTAGAGGAGAAATTGTTCCAAGCAAAGGACAACAGTGCCAAACCGGCTAAAGACACCGCATTAAACAAAGCGGGATTGAAAGCATAAACAACTAAGGATAGGAGCTAACATAAGACTTAAACCACCATAATCGAAGAGATGTCTTGTAGAGACCACGACCACAATAGGAAGAAGATGTCAAAACTACTTGTTTCAAGAATTTCTTAAAGATTGAAGCAGCTCATTATAAGCAAAATTTGCCGCTTCTTACGGCGTTGCTGTCTTTCTATAATACTGATCACAAGGCTTTTGCCTTTCCGATAGAGAATGAGATCTTCTTTGTTGATTTTGGCCTTGAAGATGATCTGTATATTACAGGACTCTCCATTGATGGGTTTCATGTATTTCTTTTTAGTTTTACTTTGTTACCTGATTTGTCATCTGTTATTTTTTTTAATTATATTCTTGGTACATGTATCCGGTGAGGAGAGCAAAGACTCTGTAGATACAGTAGAAAAGTATTTGAAAGTCAGAAAAGAAACGGCTAAAGGATTATTCATGAAAAGAAAAAATCAAGTCTACAACATTTGTACTTTGGAGTTGCAAAGGCACTTTAAAAAAAGTGTCAGAGGAGGACACTGAAGAACAGGATTTAGAGCCTTACTTTATGGCCTAGATCCTGTTTTTGTTGGGAACTGTCTTTCTGCCGAACAAGACCAAAGATATATTTTCGATGTTTCTACCTCTCTTACAAAGAGGAAAGATCAACCAATATGCCTGGGGGCAGCAATGTTGGCTGTGCTAAAAGACTCAGTCTACAAATGGAAGAATGCTTTGATTGGGAATGAAAAGGGTAGTAAATCCACAACCATATGCGGGTTTGCTTATGCTCTGCAGGTAAAGTCTTCAAATGAAAAGAAAAAAAAAATTAGTTTGATTATGTGTATAATGTTAACTGACAGTTATTGTTCTTTTTTTTTTTCGTATAGGTATTTGCATTAGAGCGTCTTCCGCGCTTTCCAACGGAAGTATCTCCACCATCCGAACCATCTACTTTTCCTTTGATGTTGCATTGGGAAAATGTATATAAGCCATATACGAAAATCTGTCCCTCAAAACCTAGTACCTCATTTTTCTTCATGTTTGCAAGCATTTATCGATACTCTATCACTTCTCTTGAGGGACAGGTTTTCGTATATGGCTTATATACATTTTCCCAATGCAACAGAACGTATACTTAGGGTGGGATCAACGCCTCTAAGGAAGAACTTACAGAGTAAACGACGGAGATTGCAAGATTAAACGCCGGGGAGACTGTGAGTGCTGAGAAGGCAATTCTACAACAGAAGCTGGATTTAACAACGCTTAATATTAGAGTTAACGTCGGTTACTAAGACTCAAAAGTTATAACGTCAGTTGTGAAAACGTCGTAACATTCGATGACGTTAAATGGGGTTCTTTGAAAAATACCTTATTTGTGTTTAGATATTTGAAAAATACCCTAATTTTTTTCTGTTTTGAAAAATACACTTTTTATATATAAGAAGACTGTTTAAACCTTATTTTAACAAAGAATTACTGAATAATTATTAATTAAATATTTTTTTTGAAAATATTATGATGAACGATATTAGTTATTTAAAAATTTAAAATATAGAAATTGATAAATCTAAAGAAAATTTGAAAATCTGTCTTCAATAAATTTAATTATTTGTGGAATGTTATATAAACAATTTTAATATCACACATAATCTTTTATTCATCAAAAATTGACCATAATATTGAGCCACAAAAAAAGAATAGTATGATATAAAAATTTTAACATATAATTATGAATTTTTTTATAAGTTTAAAATGAAAAAAAAAATCAATATCAAATCATAATTTTTTTAAAATTTTTTTTATTAAATAAATTTCGTTTTGAATTAGTTAGAAACTTTAAAGTAGGATAATTTAGTCTTTTTACATAAAGTGTAGTTTTCAAAACCCAAAAAAAGTAGGGTATTTTTCAAAATAAAAACTGATATTAAGGTATATTTCCAAATTTTCTCTTAAATATATTGGCCTCACTTAACAAAATGATGTTAAGTTTTACGTCAATAAAATAGCGTCAGTTTTTTCTCAATTTAGCGGCAGTATTAATTCGACTCTAAGGGTCTGACTGGTTTAACCGCTGCGGTTGCGGTTGCGGGAGTTTGCGGCTGCGGGAGTTTGCGGAAGCGGGAGTTTGCGATTAAAAGCTGTTTGTACGACTGGTATAGCAATTCATAGCGGTTGCGTTTGCGGGATATTTTTGACTGGTTAGCCAGCGGGTGCAAGAGCGGTTTAACCAAAAGTTACTAAAATAAAAATAATATATAATTATTCAAAACATTTATAACCATATTAATAATTTTTTTTTGAAATATATTTTTTGATGAATTTTTAATTTGAAAACTACCCTTTTTTTTTGGTTTTGAAAAATACACTTTTTATATGTAAAATGATTATTCCTAATTTAATAAAAACGAAATTCAAATAAGAAATATAAAATATTAATATTTGATAATAATTTTGTATCATTTTAACATCCTAATTACCTGTTTAGTTTTTTTTAAACAATTTAATAAAAATATAAGATTGTTTATATAAAGTTTAAATGGGGTGAGATTAAAGTTGTTTATGCAAAGTTTCAAAAATATTTAAATTTTTCAAAAGATAAACATTAAAAATGAAAGATATATTTCTCCACTTTTAAATTTTTAATAATTTATAAACTTTAAATATATGTAAAGTTTTAATTTATTTAAAGTTTCATTTGGTTTGAATGTGTATGAGGTTAAGTTGTTTATATAAAGATCCAAAATATTAAAATTTGTTTCAGTTTAACATATACTATATTTATTTGAAAAAAAACTTATTAGTTTATTATTTTTTTAAATTTTCGTTTATAATTTGTAATTATTTATTATTTTTTTGTTTAAATCACGTCAAAACATACTTTTTACATTTTAAAAGTGTATTTTTCAAAACAGAAAAAATTTAGGGTATTTTCGAAATTTTTAAACATAATTATGGTATTTTTCAAAAAAATATACCCTTATTCCAAATTTGGAGATATTATGTTTTTTTTTTTTTTTTTTCAAACCGCAACCGCCCGCAACCGCAAACGCTTGCGGAAAGGAGCTTTTGATTTTCAGCGATATAGAGCGGTACAGAGTGGTATAGAGCGGTTGAAAGCGGTTGTCGTGATTGTTATAAAACGCTAAGAACCGCTACGAACCGCAAACGCTGCGTTTGCGGGTGGTAGCGGGAGAACCAATCATCACCTAAAACTCACTTTTATTTTGTGTCGCTTATACAAACGACGTAATAAACCACGTAAGACATGTTATTGTTTGTATTATTGTTTTTTTCTAGTGTATTAAACTGATTTTATGACGACAGAAAAAAAAGGAAAAAAAAACTGATTTTATTAGCTACATATAAAATCTAGATTAACAAAAAGATCAGAAAATTAACCAATATAAGTTCCTTTAATCAAATAAAATATGTTTTACATTGTGTATAAGTATAACTAAAAAAGGTTAATGTTAACCCACATATATAAACACCAACATATCACTGGTATGATGTCCTCAATAAGCTGACTTCGTTACATCAGCTTGATCGTGCTTATCCCTTTGAAACGCTAAAGATATTCAAACTTTTTAACCTGCAATAATATACGATACTTTTTTTTGCCATGAATATCCAATAACACCTGCAATAACAGTTCTGAAGTCTGTATATCAACAATTGCACATTACTTTAAGCTTACCTCATCCTTTCTCATTACGTACATGAGATCGGTTTTATGGACTCCATTGTTGGCTCAATATCTCATGCATGCTTATGTTCATCCTGTGTATACAGGGTGTATACAAGATTCTCATACCATACTATACACAAATCTTACGGGAAAAATCTAGCGTAAATGCACCAATACAGAGCATTCCTCATTATAATGTCACCAACTTCACTTGGGTTTAAACAAAATAGAAGAGATAGTCAATAGAACCTCAAATCAAATACAGGCAAGTCGTGTGGATATGTGTCCTTGAGACTGCTATGCTTCGCCTTCGAAAGTTCAAGACAATCAAAACACTATAGTGAAGCACTGGAGAGAGAGAGAGAGAGAGAGAGAGAGAGAGAGAGAGAGAGAGAGAGAGAGAGAGAGAGAGAGAGAGAATGAAAACCAAATGTTATTTACGAGATACTGAAAGGCCATGAAGCCAAGACCAGAACTCTCTTTTGGTTTGTTGAGATTCCGAGCTGTTTTGTTCCGGCTATCAGAAAACCTGACTCTGAAATGAAAAATAGAATCCGATAGAAATCAGAGAATGTGTATTCCTATAACAAGTCTAGATTCGCATATGTTATGAGGAGATAGAGCAAAGGTGAAGTTTGGAGCTAGCTAGCACTGAGAGTGAGTCAGTGAGAGAAGCAATTATAGTGGACTTCAAAAATACTACTTTCGTTCTTCGTTTCTGGAGAAACAATATAAATTCGGATGAACTTTGCATAAGCATTAAAATTAACTAAACTAAATAGTACCTCCATCTAAATCACTTGGCTAAATTTTCATACATGTTGTAAGCTTCTTATGTTCTTCTTACCCTCTTTTTCTCTCTCTTAGTGTTTGCATGATTTGATCTGTTTGGATCCCCAATTTATAGAGAATTTTGGTTTGATGATTTTCGATTTGGGATTGAGCAGCCGAAGCACATTGGCCACGATGAATGGTATATTGCTATGGAGAGGCAATAAGCACCATGCATATATAGAATGTAAGATCATCGTATTTCTAATGGTAAAAGGAATAATTAAAAGATCATTGTATTCCTAATGGTAAAAGGAATCACTATACAATAAGGAATTAGAGAAGTGGTAGTTACAAAATTAAAAATTATCCTAATCTTAATATTTCTCAAACAATATCCAATCAAACAATATCCAATCGGTAAAACAATATCAAATTTGTTTTTCTAGAGTATATCTGAAAGATAAGGTCATCTCAAGCAAATGAATCAATTGTTGCGAAATTCTCACCTCAATAGCCTAAACTTTAGCATAAGTAGTCAAATAGTCATCTTGATTCTAAACATAATTAGATCACAAACACAATTTCCTGATGAACTAGGATTTTAGCACAAAGAATCATTTTTATTCAGACACAAAGTGGAAAATCGATGATGCTTTCTTTCAATAGAATCTCAAATTAACTTAGATACCACAAAAGAGAACGAATTAATGAAACCCAAAAAAAACCAAGAAGTTGTACATTTAAATGCGTTGCCTTTTATCTTCTCCCGACAAATGTAAAAGAGTGACATGGAAACCTCCCAAGGTAAAACTGAATTTTAAACCTATCTGAAAAATATAAGCTTACATAGATGGTATTGGTTAATCATTTTTAGTTCATGTCTCATGATCTAATTTCGACCTTGGTGTTGCTTTTTATTTAAAAGCAGTCCAACTATATAATCATCTCGTGATTTCAAACATTTGGTTAGGGAAAAGTGACTGGAGGTAGACGCGCCGCCGGTTAGTATCAGTTATTTGGCTCTGTTTACGACAAGCTTCACAATTCAGATGTAGGAGTAGGAAGATAAGAAAATAATTCGGATATGCGTCAGGAAAGCTTTGGAACAATCGTGGCCAAAGGAAAATAGGTCGCCGGAACTGCATCGGTGTGGTGATCTGGTTAGCACGTCCGATGAACCATAGGTACAACAAACAACTATCTTTCATTATTCTTTCTTTTACATCAAAGAACAATGTTTAAGAGTTTCTATTGCAAGGCTCAGATGGATTTGACGTTTACAGGTGTTTTTGTATCATTCGAAAATTCGATGAGTTTTCAAGACAACACTTGGTAATCCACTTTGACTTGATCTCAAACTCTGTTGTTCACATTCTATCTATCTCATGTTACGAAGTGTAGTTATAAAAAATGAAATTTTTTACAGGTCACGTACGAGGATGGTGTTACCGAGTTTATCGACATGTCCAGAGAAATTTGGAAGATTGTAGCTGTTTGATTTTTGTTTCCTGATTTCTCATTCCATACCTTTTGTTTTCATTTGAATTTGTGGAAAACCGTTGTTAACCGGGCGGTCTGTGCTATGTGATGTAGTCTTTGTTGCTGTAACAAACTCGAATATACAAAACCAATCAAATTACGATTTTGTTGTTACATTAAAATAATCTGTAGACTTTTGGTTTTAAGCTGTAACAAAACCGTTATTCTCTCTGTTTTCTAAACGATTTCCACAAGAAGATCGAAGTATATCAAATTCGATATATCGAAATAAGAAGTATTTCTCTATAATTAGTAAGATATTTTTATAATGTAATAATATCGACATCAAAACATTAAAATATTCTTCATTATTGAAAAAGTAAAAGTAGGGAAAGTACTATAGGTCGACTTTTCTTTTCTTTAATTGACATTTTCCCTTCTTTTCTTTATTTAACCGTCAGTCTCTTGATGTTAGAGGTTTTGGGCACGGATAGAGAAATCCCTACCCTCTCTGAAACGGAGACTCAAATTCATCTTTAGCCTTCTCCATCATCAGTTCGACCTCTGCTACTGCTTCGTCTCTAGACTCAAAGTCGGATGAAAGGTTGGAGCTTTAGTTTCTAAACCCTCTTTTAGTTTTGTTTTTATGGAACATCGTTGTCCGTTGATGTGGAACTTCTCTCTGGTATCTGGTTTTCCATATAGACCTCTGGTTCTCTTAAAATAGCTCAAAGTGTTGTTCTTTTGCGAGCTTCCACTCTAGGTTGATGAAACTGTTGTAGTTTAGCCACTAATCGTCTTTCTCTAGCTCAGAATCTTCCATTAGTTCTGTTAATCTAGAAAAAGCTTGAACCTTAAGCTTCTTTAGCTTTAGTTTCTAAACTTTCTCTGGTTGTTTGTAGAATTTAGAGAATTGTTGAATCACTCTGAGCTCACTTCGTGTTTCAGGCGCTTTTACGGAAAAGGTTGGTTCCGTCTCTACGGATGCCAAGAAGTTAGACACTGGCTCAAGGGATGCAATCAGCTCGCTCCCTCGAGAGGTTCTTGGGGACATCTTGTCCTTAGTTCCCACCAAACTGGCTGTTTCAACATCTGTTCTATCGAAAAAGTGGAGGGACATGTTTGCATTTGCGCATCATCTGGATTTCGATGATTCTGACTTTCTGCAACCGGAAGAGGGTAAAGAAGAGAGAGATGAGATCCGGGAGAGCTTCAGGACTTTTGTGGACAGAACACTCGCTGTGCAGTGCGGTTCTCCTATCAACAAGTTCTCTCTAAAATGTCACGTTCTCGATGACAGCGATATGGCTCATGTGAGCCGCTGGATCTGTAATGCCGTACAGCGTGGTGTTTCGGAAGTGGACCTAAGCTTGAACGCTCGCGTTGAAGTCTATCTGCCTGCTAAGCTCTTCACGAGCAAGAAGCTGGTTAAGCTAACACTTGGAACACAAGTTTCTCTTGGGAAGATTCCAACAGATGTGTCTCTTCCAGCGCTAAAGAGTCTCTCCATCGATTCAGTCTTTTTCACTATATATGATCTGAGTGATGTGCTTCTTCCTGCTTGTCCAGTGCTCGAGGAGTTGTCTATACTTCACGGGGATTTTGAAGGACACCCATACTGCATATCGAGTCGGAGCATCAAGAAACTATCAGTTCGCTACTATTGTGAGTTTTACCTTCGTGTTATGACTGGAATGTCATTTGACACCCCAAGTCTCGTGTCCCTGGACTACTCCGATCATGCCATGTCTGTGTACACACCACTTAACTTGGAGTCCCTAGTCGAAGCTAGGCTGGATATTTGTTATTCTCCAAAGAGAGAGCCAGATGTATCGGCTCTCCTTATAGGGATGAGCAACGTGGAGACCCTGCATCTCTCTCCCGCTTCTGCTGATGTAAGTTTCTACAGTTCTGTTTGTTTTGTGTTTTTTTTTGTTTCCTTGAGAAGACTCATAAAGAGCTTGGACATTCTTGAAGCATGTGTATGTGTGTGTGTGTGTTTCAGGTGATTTCTCGATGTGTTAATCAAGGGCTTACTCTACCGGTGTTCAACAATCTGGTTAACTTGTCTTTTGGGAGTGACAGTGAGCGAGGTTTGAAACTGCTGCTGCCATATCTGCTTAAGCAGTCTCCAAAGCTTGAAACTCTAATCATCCAGGTATGTATAGTTTATCTATGGAGATTAGAGAGAGAGGGAGGCACTGTTTTAGTGATCGATCAGTTTCTTACATGCATCTTCTTGATCTTGATTGATGCTTGTCCAGGGTCTGGATGTTGGTTACACAGGAGATGTTGTTAAGTCTATTGGTCCGTCGAAAGTGAAAGTGTTGCATGTTCTTGGCTTTGGAGGAACTGCTAAAGAGTGGGAACACGTGAAGAGAAAACTCTAGTTTCCTGTAAATGGTTTAGTTAACACTTGGTATCCACTTTAATCTCAAACTCTGTTGCTCACTTCTATCTCATTTTACGAACTTTTATTAAAAATCAGTTTGATGATCTTTGGATTTGTCAAGGTCACGTACGAAAATGGTGTTCCCGAGTTTATCCATTTGTCCAAATTTAAGGAGAAATTTCTTTTTAATAAAAAAAAATTTCCATGCATTTAGCACAATAAAAAACTGGATCATTTTTTTAGAGAAAGTATTTGGGGTAGAATAAATTGTGAACTAAATTTGGTAAATTTAATTACTTTGATAAAATTTAAATTTATTAAATTCAAAACAGATGTGTAAACATTATCAATCTTAATAAATAGTTTACAGTCACCACCAAACTTGTTGGATCTCTTTCATTTAGCGATCAGTATAAATAAGTGAGTAAACCAACTAAGCGAGACCTCTTTGCCTCTCCACCACTTCTCTTCCCACATAAATCCATTTCGAAATCTGGTTTTTGAGCTCATTGAGGAGGATGAAGGTGGTGGATAAGATCAAATCGGTGATCAAGGAAGGCAAAACGGCCTTCTCCTTTGAGTTTTTCCCGCCGAAGACGGAGGAAGGCGTCGAGAATCTCTTCGAACGGATCGATCGGCTGGTCTCTTATGGACCAACCTTCTGCGACATCACCTGGGGTGCCGGAGGTACCACCGCCGATCTCACGCTCGAGATCGCTTCTGAGATGCAGAATGTCATCTGCGTCGAGACTATGATGCATCTCACTTGTACCAACATGCCTGTCGAGAAGATCGATCACGCGCTCGAGACTATTAGATCCAATGGGATTCAGAATGTGCTTGCCCTTAGAGGAGATCCGCCTCATGGGCAGGAGAAATTCGTCCAGGTCGAAGGAGGGTTTGATTGTGCTTTGGATCTGGTGAATCACATTCGAAGCAAGTATGGAGATTACTTTGGAATCACTGTCGCTGGTTATCCTGGTATCAAATTGCCCCTTTTGTTTCCAATTTCATCATTGGTTTTGTAAATTTCTTGTGTTAGTATCGTTCTGATTTGATTTTGATCTATAGAGGCTCATCCGGATGTTATTGAAGCTAATGGCCTTGCGACTCCTGAATCTTATCAGAGTGATCTTGCTTATCTGAAGAAAAAGGTTTTAGATTGTTTTGTTCATGGCTTTGCATGAATTGAGTCCTTTTTTTTATCTGATGGATTAGTGTGTTGGCTCGTGGAACAGGTTGACGCTGGAGCAGATTTGATTGTGACTCAGCTTTTCTATGATACTGACATATTCCTCAAATTTCTGAATGACTGTCGACAAATCGGGATTAATTGTCCCATTGTTCCTGGAATTATGCCAATTTCCAACTACAAGGGTTTAGCGTATGGCTGGTTTCTGCAAAACCAAGGTACATTGTGATGATGTGGCTTGTACTGTTAGAAAAATGTTGTCTTTGTGCTTAAAATTCTTAAGATTAGATTGTGTTTACTGCTTCTCTGTGGTTGCTTATTGATTAGGCTGACATATTTAGACCCTTAGTGATGCCTTAAGACTAGTGTATTTTGATTTGGATATCATTCTTCTTCGGTTAATATTCAACGGATGCAATTTATTGCTGTAGATACCTGCTGAGCTCACTGCTGCCTTGGAGCCTATTAAAGACAATGAAGAAGCTGTTAAAGCCTTTGGTATACACTTTGCAACAGAAATGTGCAAAAAGATTTTGGCTCATGGAATCACTACCCTTCATCTTTACACGTTGAATGTGGACAAATCAGCTACTGCGATATTGATGGTTGTTCCTCATTTCATTCTTAGTTTTGTTTTTTGTAGCATATTTATTAACACATAGAGAACCTAACGATGGTGCTGAAATTCCAGAACCTTGGTCTGATTGATGAGTCAAAAGTCTATCGTTCTTTACCTTGGAGACGCCCTGCAAATGTTTTCCGTACTAAGGAAGATGTTCGCCCCATTTTCTGGTATAACTTGCATTATGCGTCTCTTGCTCTGATCTTAAACTTCTATTTGCAGGAGAGAATAATAACATTGGTTTCTTTCTGAATCATTGCAGGGCAAACCGTCCAAAGAGCTACATATCTAGAACAAAGGCCTGGAATGACTTCCCACAGGAACGGTGGGGTGATTCACGCAGTGCATCGTATGGTACACTTTCCGATTATCAGGTACCTCAGATTCATTAGTTTTTCTGACAATCCGCTCTAGGACATACTAACTTGAATTCTGAAGGGATCTTTTTAGTTGCTCTTCTTTATTTGCTCAAGATTGTACCCGCATATTGTTATCTTCCACTACCATTATAAGGAGATGCTTGCTTTGATTTCCATCTTCTTCTGTGTCTTTCATTGCCAATGAGTGCAACTGATCTAGCTGCATTTGTTGATAGTTCATGCGCAAACGATCACGTGACAAGAAGCTTCAGCAAGAATGGGTTGTCCCATTGAAAAGCATTCAAGATGTTCAAGAGGTAGCCTTTCCGTCGCTAAACACGCATAGATATTGTTTCCTTCTCCTTTTTCACGTTCTTATACACAGACACTTACAAACAATCTTGTTACACACTGTCACAAACCAGAAATTCAAGGAGCTCTGCCTTGGAAGCTTAAAGAGCAGTCCATGGTCTGAGTTAAATGGACTCCAGCCAGAGACAAAGATTATAAACGAGCAACTCGGCAAAATCAACTCCAGCGGCTTCTTGACCATCAATAGCCAACCATCTGTCAACGCAGCCAAATCTGATTCCCCAGCTATTGGTAACGAAATTCATATCTTTGATCACATATCATACTTAGCTTATAATATGTAACATAAATGTTTAATTACAATTGAAAACTTTGCAGGATGGGGTGGTCCTGGAGGTTACGTCTACCAGAAAGCTTATCTAGAGTTCTTCTGCTCAATGGATAAGTTAGACACGCTTGTGGAGAAATCCA